ATTTTAAAAGCTCTTCAGGTTATTCTATTGTGCAGCCTAGATACGAGAACTTTGAGAACATTCTAATGTGATCCAAAGTTTCTAGTCCTCGCTTTCTATCACTATTCTCTAGGCTGACATGATAAATCAACTAACATACTTGATCCTGTCTTCTTAGTCTGGAGTCCTCTTCCTCCTCAGTTCTATGGCTGATACATTATGACTTCATCAATTTCTTGCCTGGCTCCCCACTACTTTTAGAAAAAAAGTTCTAAGTACTTCATGTGGCCAAAACCACCCTTTGTGATTAGGTTCCCTGATACCTCTTCCATTACCTTGCCCAACAAGTATCTTGAACTTCAGCCATACCATATTGGACATTTGTGTTTTAAACTTCTTCATGTCTCTATGCCTTTGCCTGTCCTTCAACCTAAAACATGCATCTCTTGTCATTGCTTGTCATCTTCTTCCTCTCTCTTCAACATGTAGTTTGGCATCATACGCCCAGCTCTGCTTTGATCTCTTTCTTTGGAATAGTTATCTGGCTCTGGTTCCCTCTGTGTTTTCCTTTATCACAGGCATTAGGCACTGTGTTGTGATTATCAATCATCAGGTTCAGCAACCCCACTAAATTGTGCACTTCTTGAAGGCTGAGATTGTGTGCTTTCATCTCTTGTCCCTTGTGCACACCTAGAAATGTGTCCAGCACAAATAAGGTACCTAATAAATGTTGATTAAATGAATGAGAACTGGGCTCCAATCTGCACTGTGATTTGGGGCAGATTTCTTAATCTCCTTGAGCCTCTAATGCCATATCTATCTACAAACTGGAAATAACACCTATACCACAGGTGGTTCTGAGATAGAAGTGACTTAATCCATGTAAAATACATTGAGTGGGCTTGGTACATGGTAAGTGCTCAGTAAATCTTGGTTCTCTTCCTACCTTCCACCAGACCCTTCAGAGACACCCTTCCTATTCACACTTCTTTAACCTTCTTTAACTGACCACTAGGTGGCGTCAGTCTCTGGCCTGACATTCAGTCCCAGGGCTGCCTCCTTTAATACCCCATCTTAGGCAGGAAAAGGAGATCTTTAATAACTTGCTGGGAGATGCAAAAGGAAGATATCCTCTTTATACACCAACTTTTTTGCCTACTGCCACCATTCTAGGTATCCCAATCATGAATTGCAGAGAATTCCCCCTTGATTTCCCATATTTGGGTTATAATTCCAACACAAGGATTTAAAGATGGAAGAAACGTCTTAATAATAAAAGTGGGGTGGGACGCCTGGCTGTCTCAGTCGGTATAGCATGACACTCTAGATCTCTCGGGGTTGTAAGTTCGAGCCCCACGTTGGAAGTACAGATTACTTGAAAATAATTTTTTTTTAAGCATAAGAGTGGGGTGAAAAGAAGCTGAAGCAGAGAAGGATTGAATAATGAGTGCAATAGGAGAAATACAGGAAAGAAGATGTTAATAGTCATATCTCATTTGACAGTGGTTAGGCTGTCTCCTTTCCTTGAGTAGGCGCCCCTAGTTTTAACAGTCCTGTTAGCCTCCTCCGGTCAAGAGTTCCTCATATTGGGTGGATGCAAAGAAGTAACAGACATGATCCTTGCCCTTAAGGAGTTTATGGTCTGGTGGTAGGCACAGACCTCCCAAAATTGAGTGCTAAATTCTAGGTATTGAGGCTATGTTGAGTGCAAGCTTGGAAGAGGACAGGAGAGCTTTTCTGAAGAGGGTAGGGAGGAGCTGCGAGAACAGTATAATTAAAGGCTCAGGTAGAAATATGCATTCTCTCATCTTACAGAGACACCCTCAGCAGTTCACATACTGGAAATAACCCAAGAGCCCAACAATCCCAGTAGATTGTGCAGTAATCAAGCAAGGAGATTCCAACCAGCCAATATAAAGAGTGAGCTAGATGTGTATGTTTAATGTGGAAAGGGATCAAAATTAGTTAATTGAAAAAAGCAAGTTACAGAACAGTATATATTGTATGAGCTCATTTGTGGTTTTAAAGGATGTCTATTTATATTTATTTGTCAATAAAAAATTTTTTTAAACCTTCCAAAGGAAGCCCAAGAAACTCTTGGTAGTGGTTACTGTGAGAGCAGGACTAAAGAATAAGATGTTGGAGCATGGCAAGTTTACTTTCACCTTCCTAGGCTTTTTTTTTTTTTTAATGTTTATTTATTTTTGAGAGAGAGACAAAGCATGAGCAAGGGAAGGGCAGAGAGAGAGGGAGACACAGAATCCAAAGCAGGCAGGAGGCTCTGAGCTGTCAGCACAGAGCCAGACGCAGAGCTCGAACCCACAGACCATGAGATCATGACCTGAGCTGAAGTTGGATGCTTAACGCCCCCACCTGCCTATACTTCTTATATTCTTTCTGTACTTTTCTATACTCTTTGAGTTTTTTTCTTTTTAACTAAGTATTACCATGTTTCACAATGTAAAGAATTCACATTTGATTCGGTTGTCTTCAGATACTGAGCAGAGAGGTTCGCCAGCCAGGAAGAAACATAGGGAAAGCAATTTTAGGAAAGAAATTTTAGCAATTTAGGAACTCCTTTATGAAAGAAGGAGTGAGATGCCCCTCACAGCTCTCTTGGGCTATACATATGGTCACTCCAGATAGCTCTTTCCTTTCAGAACTGCCTGACGTTGGCTTCACCTGATTTCACCTGGACCACAGTATTAGGAGCAGGGTCCTAGGTAAGGAAGGAACCAACCTAGGCATTCATTAAAAAGTTAGTGGGGTGCCAGGGTGACTCCGTCTGTTAAACATCTGACTCAGTCTCAGCTCAGGTCTTGATCTCAGGGTCATGAGTTCAAGCCCTGTGTTGGGCTTTGCGCTAGGTATGAAGCCTACTTTTAAAATCCAAAACAGGAACGCCTGGGTGGCTCAGTTGGTTAAGCGTCGGACTTTGGCTCAGGTCGTGATCTTGCGGTTCCTGTGTCCAGCTCTGTGCTGACAGCTTAGAGCCTGGAGCCTGCTTCAGATTGTGTCTCCCTCTCTCTCTGCCCCTCCCCCGCTTGCTCTGTCTCAAAATCAAACAAACATTTAAAAAGCCAATTAATTAATCAATTAAAACAAAACAAAACAAAAACAGCGAGTCCTTGCAATGTGCCTATCACTGCATTAGCCCATGAGGGCTGGATAAAAAGATGAACACGACCCCACCCCTGTCCAGAGAAACTCTCTGGTAGTGGAAATGGAGGAAATCTGAGCTATATTTCAGAGGGAGAAATGACAGGCCTTGAGCACAGGCTTACAAGATTGGATATAGGAGAGAAAGGCCAATGAGGAATTGGCAAAATGTCTGAAGTTTCTAGCCTAGGAGACTAAAAGCAGGTGGACTTGGCTCTGAGCAAAGTGAGCCCAGAGGAAGCTCTGGTTTGGTGAAAAGGTCCAGTGCCTTCCGGATTCTTCTCACTCTCCTTGCCATCAATGGGACAAGTCCTCCATGCTGGTCCCTTTCCTGCCAGGGACGGACTGGTGTGAGCACTTGGAGCCCTTCCCATTCCTCCACTAGAATTTAAAAAGTGAGAATGGTGGTGCAACCCTCTCTCATCTCTAACGTCAATTTCTGGCAGCCCACGACGTTGCCTGCTGCGTCCCTGAACTCTGACTTTCAGACACCCAAGGTACAACCTTAAAACACCGCCCAGAAGGGGGCAGTGGCCAGAAGCACATTCACCGGGCTCTGGGAACCGCCCGGCGCCTTCAGGACTCAAAGTAGCATTCCCGTGTGGTCTCGGGGCCGGGACAAAGGTCCGGCACTCAGCAGACACCTTAGACCTCGAGGCCTGGAAGCAGGGGTCCAGAGTCCCTCATCTTATCCCAAATCCCTGTTGCTCGGAATCTAAAACCCCAACTTCGTGGGAAGTCAGCCAGAAGGTATAAAAAACAAAACAAAACACCAAACCAAACATAAATGAACCCAGACCTCTTGGGGCGAAGGGGGGTGGCCCTTCCTCAACCCCACCCGTTGGTGACTCACCTCCCTCCAAACCAGGGCTTGCCCCTCCCGCGCCCGGTGCCAGGCGAGCAGGGCGGGGCGGGTACTAAGGTGGGCTCCATCCCCAGCGCTACGCGGGCGGACAAGCTCCGGCGTGTCCCCGCGGGTGTCCCTGTTTACTCTGAGCCCTGGGGCGAGGTGGGGGCGGGCCCTCGCAGCCCCTCCCCCACCCCGCCCCCCTTCTCCGAAGGCCCCAATCCCTGTCTCTGTTTTACGAAGTCTCCAAATCAAACCTCAGCCTTTCCGCGTATCTTCCTTGCGGACTGGAGGCCCCTGCCCCCCACTCCAGGCAGGAGAGGCACAGTCAGAGTTCCCCGAGGAAATCGGGCCTCCGCCCGGACCCCGGGTCCTGGATCCCTAGACGGAGCCTGAACTCCTAGGACACGACCCCGAGTTTCAAAGAGAAGCCCCTCAGCTCTCCTCGCCCACTGCCCAATCTCCCCTCGGCCCTTCAGCTCTCTGAAGCACGGGGGAGGGGGGAAGGCCCAGTCTGGGGAGAGGACGCTCCAGGCCCCAAACTGGCTAGCGGGGGTCCGGAGACCTCCACTCTAGGACCGCTGACCAGACCCAAATCCTGTCGCTGCGCTGACTCCCCCTCCCCAGGGCAGCGCGCCAAATCCGCGCATGCGCACTCACAGGATTGCCGCGTAGCTCTTTCTCCCCCCCCCCCCTTTCTTTCCCCGCCCCTTCTCTCCCTCCCTCCTTTGCCGGTCCCCTCCCTCTCCCCCCCTCGCCCCCCCGTCGCGGCACCTCAGTCCGGGGAACAGTGGTGCGAGCTCCAGGCCCGTGCACTGAGGAGGCGGAAACCGGGGGAGCCCCCAGAGCTCCATCAGGCCCCTTCCAAACGCTCCCCCACCCGGTCCACGCCCCCCACCCCCTACCCCGCCTCCTCCCAATTGTGCATTTTTGCAGCCGGAGGCGGCTCGGAGATGGGGTTGTGAGCTTCGCTCTGGGAGGGGGAAAGGGGAGAAGAGAAAAGCAGGGGGTGAAGGGTTTGGATTTGGGAGGAGGGGGCGGGCGCACCCCCGACAGCAGGCCCTCCCCAAGGGGCTCTGAACTCTACCTCTTCACCCACGCCCCTGATGCTCTTTGCTTAAGGATAGGATAAGAATAGAGGAGGAGGAGGGGAGAAGGAGGAAAAAGGGGGACCCCCCAATTGGGGGGGGGGGGGCGACGGCAAGAAGTAGCAAGACCAGAGGGGAGGGGGCTGCTGCTTGCATCAGCCCACACCATGCTGACCCCGCCGCTGCTGCTGTTGCTGCCCCTGCTCTCAGCTCTCGTCGCGGCCGCTATCGATGGTGAGTGAGATTCCGCGGCCCCCTTGGACCCCTGGGGACACCCACTCCCCAGCCCCCACTCCTGCGCTCAGATGGGGAAGGGAGACGCGGGAGGGGGTGCCTTTTGTTATCCCAGTCCAGCTGACACAGCAGCGGCCCGACTGGGGGCGGGGATGGGGGTCCGATTTGGAGGATGGGGGCCCAGGGCAAATGATGCTTCCGGGACCCCCCAGCCCAAACAAAGACCAGAGGCCTGGGAAGAGAGAAAAGGGCTCCCCTTTTTTCTGATCCTGGGATCCAGAGGCCTTCTCCTCCTGTCTCTGGTTGGGGAGGGCCTCTGCCTCCCCTACATCCTCCACCCCCCCCACCCCCATCTGAAATGTGAAGGAATCCGGATTTGCAATGTACGGCTGCAAAGGGGTGGGGGGGCTTTTGCAGTGGCCTCTGAATCTGGAAGGGGGAGCTGGGTCAGGGTTGCCCTGCTGGGCAGAGGGCAGGCAGGCCCGGGAAGGCTGTGGGTGGAAAGAGGGAAGGCCACAGGGAAGGCCCCCTGCTTGGGTGTGGAATCTGGGCCTGGGGAGTCCAAGCTTGGAGGCCTAGGTCCAGGATCCAGCGGGCTACCCGCCTGGGTTCCTAAGCGGGCACTTCCCCCTCTCAGGGCCTCTGTCAGTAGCCTGGATAGGGCTGGGTGGGGGTGGGGGTGGGGGCAGCGATGCTATGTGACTTTGAATTTTCCTTCTTAATTCCTGGGAGCTTTGAGATGAAAAACGTCAGATGTCATCATTGGGGAAGGGGACTGGAGAATGGCCTGGAATGCTGAGGTGGGAGGGAGGAAAAAAGCTGCTTTCTCCCTGACTTCTGGCTTGATCACAGTTTGGACAGGAAGGAGAGTTGGAGGTTGGATGGGGGTTATGGCTATGGCCCTACCCCCCAATTCTCTACTCCTTTAGGAAATGTGTTTATTTCTCTCCACCTTTGCCCCATACACACACATTTTGTATATTACAGTTAGGCTTGGGCTAGAACAGAGTCTTTTTGGGGAAATGGGGTGTCCCCTCTCCCCGCTCTATGTCAGCTATTTTTCTCTTGCTTGTGAGTCACTGGTTCAAGTCTTGCCCAAGCTTTGAGCTAGGATCATGGGGTTGGGCTGGGCTGGGCCCCTATTTGAGGAGGGTGGGATCTCATCCCTTCCCGTCATTTTGGTCCATCCAACCAGGGAAAAACCTGGACCCAGTATCATCATGCACCCCTCCTCCATCTTCTAAATTTTGCCAGGTTAGGATTGGGAAAGTTTTTCTCTGAAACCAGATTGTCTCTCCCTCTCCTCCCCTCCCCCCAGCTTGCTTCAGTTAGAGAAGAGAGGTTAGGGAGTCGGGAAGTAACTGTGCCCCCAAAAGACAGTATTTTCAGTGGCTCCCAGTTATGTTGACTGTCTGTTCCCTTCTCTGCCACTACCTCAGTTATCTGCCCAAGAGGAGAAAAGAGGCTTTCTCTTGAATATTCTCTCTAGACCAGTCCTCACAGGCAGCCCTAGCCCATGACTTCCTTGTTATACATGTTCTTTCCTCTTTTTCTCAACCCTGTGAGGTGGGAGGGGAAACTAAGGCAGAGAGGTTTGGGCGCATGACTTCTAGGGAGAATAGAAAAAAAAATTTAAGAGAAAAAGAGAGACCCTCACATCATGGGAGGATGGAGTTAGGAAGAAGCAAGAGAGGCCTCTTCGGAGAGCAGAAAAGTCCCCATCCCATTCAAGGATAGCACCAGATTGCTTCACCCCCAGACTTCTAAGGTGGTTCTATTTGCCACACTACAGGTTAGTTGCTGGTGAGTGGAAGTGGGAGAGATTGGACATGTTCTCCTTAACTGTCTCCCTGCCCTTTCTTAAAATTTCCACCAAGCCCACATCTGTAACCCAGCTCAAACCAAACTGTATCCAAAGTCCCAGGAAGAGGACCCTTCCCCAGACACACTCTACTACTCTTACCTTGGGAATGGAAATATGAATCATCGGTTCTACCCCACTCTGAAGGGGGGGAAAGGGGTATTGTACAGACCTGTAGGGCTGGTGCTATCCAGGGCAGCCCAGAGGATTCTCTTATCTCTACCCCTGCCCTCATGCCTTGGGCCCACTGCCTTCTTTCTCCAAAGAAGGAAACCTTTTGACCCCAGATACCTAACTTTGTGTCTAAACTTTCTCTCTGCTGCTACCGCAGGCCTTGCTGCTTTCCTTCTAGGGGAGCAGCCCTAGGAGTCTTCCCCACCTCTTTTGCCTCGTCTGCTCCACCTGAACTCACCCCAGTGTCCCCTTCTCTTTGGGGAGCCATGTCACCCCCACTAGTAAACAGAATTGAGTGTACTTGCTATCAGGGAGGATGAGGAAATGGATGAGGTGGGAATGGGAAAAAGGGTCATTGAGGACCCTGCTGAGCTTAGGAACATCTTGTAGTGGGGAGGGCAGCCCCAGGCAGTTATGGCTCAGGGAAGGCCGACTGCCTCCCTCTTTCCACACCCCTCTCCACACACGCCCTTGAGCCAGTTGTATTACCAGTTATCAGACAAGCTGGACAGTTGAAGTGAGTTATGAGGCTGAGGTGTTTGCCTCCTGGCTCTCTGAGAGAAACTTCCAAACTCCTTTTTTCCCCAGTCAGACCCCCATCCTTGAACATCTCCCCTTCCCCTGGTCTTTCAAAGCAGGGATGTTTAGCACAACGATTTGGAGATTGGAGGAATATTTTGATGGTAGAGGCTTCTTCTTTTCTTCCAATCTTGCTCCCCCTTCCTCCATTTTCTCTCCTCCCCCCCCCCCTCCATATATATATGTTGTTGTTTGTTTTGGTTTTTGGTTTTTGGTTTTTTTGTTTGCCTCCAACCTCTCCACTGTCACTGAACCTCTTAAGGATGTCAGTTGGGGTCCTGGCTAGAGCCAGATCCTGTCCAAATCCGCCCAACTCCTCAAGACTCCATGCTTTAAGGAGCCCCTCTTTACTCAAGTCAAACTTTCTTTCCTCCTGCTGCGGTCTCCGCCTTTGCACATCAGAACCCCGAGCCTAGGGCATATTGCCCCTCAGTAGTCTCTTGTCAGCATCCCCCCACTCTGTGTACTCTCCAGGATTCAAGCCTTCTGGCTCTGTATGGAGAGCTCACCGCCCTTGGGGAATCTGGGTGCAGCTGATTTGGGGCCATGAAAGGGTCCTTGACCTGGTGGAGCTGGGTGCCCCTGTGAGCATTTGGAGAACTTAGTCCCACCCCACTGTGTTCAGTCCCAGATTTCAGCCCAGTTAGCAGGATCCTGCATTGTTTGGAGAAGGAAGCAGTTGGCTTTGGAGTGCTTCCGGTGCAGTGGCCCCAGGCACTAGTGTAAAAACTCCCCAGGAAAGAGGTGAGGGATAGTGGTGGGGGAGAGGTGTTTGTCCCTCTTGCTCCCTCAGGGGAGATGAGAGTCTCTCCGAGGCCTTGGCTTCTCTGGTTGAAGAGCTCCAGTCTTCTTCCCTTTACTCCCTATTCTGTGGGAGGCAATAACCCTTGTTCTGGGTATTCCTTGGGAAAGAACTGCTACAGCAGGGACTCTGTCTCCATAAGTCAGGATATATGCTGCCCCCACCCTACTCTGAGTCTCGGGGGCTTGTTGTTTTTTGGGTTCATCCTAAGACAACTGTGCCATTATCTTGGCAGCCTCTGGGCTGAGACCCCTTCCTGTCTATTTTCCCTCTGTCTGCTGTCATTGGTGTGTGCTCTCTTGGCCTCTCCGAACCTTTGTCTCTCATCCTCCTGGTTCATCTCTGTCTGGTTGCCCACCCTTTGTGGCATTCTCTGTCTATCTTTTTTAGTCTCCATTGCTTGATTTGTCTCTACCTGTCTCCATCCACTTCCATCCAGGCCTGGGATGGGCATCTCAAAACTCCGTGGGAGTGAGCATGTCTCCTGGGCTTTCCCACATGCTCTCTTTCCCACCTCGCCATTTTGGAATTATTCTTCCCCTCCCAGGTCAGAGTCGGAATGTCCAGTTCTGCAGTTCGCCCTTCACTTTCCTCCAAATTTCTCTCTCTTTTTCCCCCTCCACTACTTTTAGGAATGGATTTTGGAGAGAATGTTTCTGGAGGAAGGGAACTTGATACCTTTATGGGCTGAGTAATAGGGGAAAGGAGATATTTCAGAAGGAAAGGGGGAGGTTAGACTTCTCTCAGAACTTCCTCATGACCTGAGAACTGGAGAAAGGTGTGGGGAACGGGTCAGGAGCTTAGACCTCCTTCTGCTGAGCATAAACCATGCGTGTGTGTTGGGGGTAGGCTTATAAAGGCCTTATAAAGGCCTGGTGAGAGATATGATGACCTCTGGGGGGGTTTGAGGGGTTGAATTTTGCTTGTGGGGAAAGGAAAAGATGGTGGGGAGGTCACTGGTCAGGCTAATGTCCTGCTGAGTCAATATTGACTCAGGATGGAGGGGGAGACCCTTCCCCTCCCCTGGCAGTCCAAGCCATCCCGTCTGTACGTCTGTCCAGGCCGCAAAAGCAGAGTCCCAGACTCAGGAATGACAAAAATGTGTCTGAGCCTCACTGAGCTGCGGGAAGGAGCCACCGGGTAACACCCAAAATACATAAAATTCAGTGAAAAGCTCTCGGTTTGGGTCTGGGAGGCCCTGCTGCCCCACCCCCCTATGTTTGAAAGTTTAGATTCCTGCAGGCTCTGCCCCCCAGCCCCTGGCCACCCCCAGCTCTTCTGTTCCTTTAGATATCTCACGTGGTTCCCTTTAGAAAATATCCCCCTGCTAACACAGCCTATCTCTCCCTCTGCTGTGTCTGCTCCTGAAAAGGGCCCCAAGGGTCCCCTTCATGCTTTCCTGGCCCCAAGTCTCCTGGTCCTTTAGGACACGCCATCTGAGGTCGCAGCTCCCTTGCTCCCAAGGAGAGCTCCCAAGGGGATCAATGGATGGGTCTCCTCTTCTGGAGAAGACTCCCTCAGGGTTTGTCCTTTCCTGTCATCCTCTCTTCTCTAGCCAGGCACTCTCGCCCTCCTTCCCCACCCCACCCCCAAGGTCCCGGAATGGGACAGAGGACAACAGCCAAGGCTCAAGCAGGGCAGTGGGGTCCGTGTTGTGTCTGGACACACACCCAAGCCTACACCTCCTGTCCTGGCTCCAACTTGGTGGCCCTGGGGGCCATGGCTGGGCTGGGTGCCTGGGTTTGGGGGGGGGGGGCAGGGGTGTTGGCCAGAGTTAGCATGGCGGTCACATTCATCTCCAGGCAAAGCTGAGAACAGACGGCCCCTGTGTCCCGGCGTTCTTGCTGCAACCTCACTCACTCTCCTCCCTCTCCAGTCCTCTCCTCCTTCTTCTCCTTCCTCTGTCTTCCCTCTCTGTTCTGTTCTTGTCCCTCTCTGCCTCCTCCACCTCCCCCTTCTCTCTGAGGAGCCCTGAAGGTCACTGCCACCCCCTATAATCTCTTTCCCCACTCCTAGTGCCAGAGGACCAAAATATTCTCCCTGCCAGTTCCTTTTCTTCATCCTTTTTCATCTGGCTCCATCCTCATGGTCAGTGAGGAAACCACCTGTTCAGTTACCCATCACTCTGTGCCTCAGTTTCCTCGTCCGTACAATGGAGATTGCAACAGTACCCACCTCCCAGGGTTTTGAGGATCTAAATGAATTAACATGAACAAAGTGTTTCAGGTCAGTGGCTGACGAGTAGTGACCATGTTGAAAAGTGTTAGTTAGCTCCTATCATTAGGTAGCCCCAATTCTCATGAGGGGTGGGAGGCAGAGGAGGCTAGTGGTTGCTCCCGAACTTAGGCCATGTTGTTCCCTCACCTTAGCGGCGGGCCACAAAGATGGGTTTTGTGGCTGCTAGCGTCAGATGCAGAAGGCTCAGCTGAGGGGAGTGGGGTTGGCTGGCAGTTCTAAGCAGATTACAAGTGCCCTACCCCACCCCCACTGCAGCTCCCTCCCACCTCAGAGGGAGGCTTCTCTTGGCTATGTAGACTGCCCCAAAGTAGGTTATTTGTTTCTTTCCTCCCCACTCCCCCTGAAGGAAATCAAAGACAGGCTTCAGCCTTCAAACTCCAGATTCCTGGGGCTTTCTTCACCATCCCTGACAGGAAGGAAGTGCTGTCACATATCTCTCCAAGATCCTTGTGCTGCCTGGTCCCTTGGGAGCAGTGCAGCGCCCCCAGGTCCCTCCGCCCCGGGCCTGAAGAGGTGCTGCGATGGGACAGGGGCCCCGAGTGCTCCTCTTCCTTTCCTTCCCCCATCCCCCACTCCCCCCCTCCACAAGAGCACATCTGGTTTGTGAATCTCTCTCATTCCAGCTTTCCGAGTTTGCCAGCTGCTGTTTCCTCTGCCGAGTTCAGGCCAAAAATGGGGGTGGGGACAGCTGGGGGGGGGGTGCAAAGTGAGGGCCAATGGAGGGGGGATCATGGCTGGGACATGGAGTGGAGGGGAGGTTGGAGTGGCCAACCAGTGACCTCACGGGGCTGTGAGTTCTGCCTTGAGGAGGAGTGGGGGCGTGGACTAAGTCCATGTGAAGGGGTGGGGGTGGCATGGGGGCCATTTCTGGGCTCCAAACGGCCCATCTGCTTCTCTAGTCCCATTCCAGCCCTTTCTACCCGCCCCCAGCCAGTCTCGGCTGGCCAGGGGAAGAGGACCGGTCTCCGGCATGCTAACTAGGCTGGCGGGCTGTTTCCCCGGGAAGACCTCACAGCTGGCCCAGTGGGGCAATGAACTCAGCATTATCCACCTCCTCAAGGGGCCTTTATTCCCTGCTCAGGGTGGGAGGTAGGGGAGGGGGACGCCGCGGGTGGGGGAGCCTGGCCAGGCCATCCTTGATGTGTTTCCTGAACTCGGCTCTCATCCTGGCCAGGGGCCTGGGTGCAGTCCCTTCTGCCAGAGATGGGGGTTAGGGAGGGAGGACATCGTCTCCATGTGGCCCTCCTCAGACTCTATCCCTTCCTGCTCAGAGCCCTGACATACTTTATTTATACTCTGTCTCAGCCCTGAGCTCATTCTGCCCTGCATTTGAGTTAGTTGTGTACAGCTGTCTTCCCAGGGGGACTGGGGCTCCCAAGGGGGCATCTCACTCCTCCTTGGCACCCCAGGCTGGTCTTCAGTGCATGCCAGCTGAATAGAGATGGAATTTACAACAGGCCAAGGAAAAGGCGATGATGGGCTGGGAGACTGGGAACCCAGCCCTGGGTGGGGATGAGGGAGAGCAGGGGACTTTTCTTCCCATGGAGGACATGGTGACGGGGTTGGAAGGAAAAGCTCCTGAGGATGTCTCCGTGGGAGCTGGGAGGCTGATGCGGACTGCCCTGGCTAAAAGCTTAGCGTTGGCTCAACTGGTTTGAGTCCGGGTTTGGTCACTTGCCTGCTATGTGACCCCACCTTTTCTGGGGCTTGGCTTCCTCATCTATGAATGATGGTATTAGTAGCACTACCTATTTTGTCATATTGTGGAGAGGATTAAATGAGATGATACATGGAAAGAATGGGCTGACTACAGTTCCCATGCATACTGAGCCCACAGTAAGAGTTAGTGTTACCATTCTTAATTCCTCCTTGGAGGATGAGGCAAGAAATCTAGGTGGGAGTAGAGGAAGGTGAAGAGGGGGTGAAGGACAGGGCAAAGAGGTCCTGGATGTAGTAACTCCACAGGTTAACTGGCCTGAAACCAGCTCCCAGTCACCCTTCTGCTGCGGCTCTTCAGTTGTGGCATCCTGAGCTGTCTTCTGTGCCTTTTATCTCAGACGACGTCTACTGAAAGCCCTCCTTGAGGTTTAACCAACAAGGGGAGCCGTGTCTTTAGAGAATGGAGGTGGAGGCAGGGCTCCCTACCCTGCCTTGCCTTTCTCTCCTATACTTCTGCTGATACAGTCTCTAAGTCATCACTGTGCCGAGGGCACCCCCCACCACTTCCTGTCTGGGGCCTGGCTGTTAGGAGTTGGAGATGGGCAGGGTGATGGGTTTCAGGGACCAGGAGTGCCACAGAGGGCGGACTGAGCAAAGAGGTTAGAAAAGAACAGCCCTTAGGTGCCTGGCTTGATTGGAAGAGCGTGGGATTCTTGATCTCAGGGTTGTGAGTTCAAGCCCCACATTGGGCTTAGAGCTCACTCAAAAATAAATAAATAAATAAATAAATAAACAAACAAACAAATAAATAAAGTGGCTCTCGGTTTCTAGGGGGAGGGAAAGGAAGATAAAGAGAAAAAATGTCAAAGGCCTAAGTCCTGATCTTTCACCATCACTCTCGGTCAACAAAACTGGGGCCGCTGGTGTCTGACCAGAGTAATGCAGAACAGCAAGGGCTTTGACCCTGAGAACTGGAGAGGCACACTGGACAGGCAGCATCTGGGGTGGATGAGCAGGCTGTAAGATACGTTTCCTGCATCCTTCGCCTTCCCCCCACCACAGGTACACGGTATTCTGGGAGTATCCCACAGCCGCCTGCCAACCTAGGTACCTGGACTGTAGCTCAGAGTCTGGGCCAGATGGGCTTGATGCTGGGGAAGGAGGAGGAGCTCTAGGGACTTTAAGGTCGTAGAGTTGCCCTCCACCTTTCATTGTTTTCTTTCCTTACTCCTAGCCCCTAAGACTTGTAGCCCCAAACAGTTTGCCTGCAGAGACCAGATCACCTGTATCTCCAAAGGCTGGCGGTGTGATGGTGAGAGGGACTGCCCGGACGGATCCGATGAGGCCCCTGAGATTTGTAAGTACTTTTTCTGATCCCTTCTCCTAAACGCCTTTTCCTTTTGGCTCAGGAAGTTTGGGATAAGGACGACTGATCTCTAGCCTGGTGTGGACCTTGCTCTGTGATTGTTTGTCTATGACACAGCTAAAACTATTCTCTCCCCCTCTTCAAAGTGCCCGGCACGGTGCATGATGTGCTCAGAATGACACATCCGATTGCTCCTTTAGCGGCTGTACCCCCAAGCCTGCCAGAGACTTTGTTGTCTGGGCTGACAGCTTTGCTGGAAGGAGAGAGCCCAGCTTCCCTTCCCTTCTTGCTCAGTCCTCTTCTTCCCACCTCTGAGACTTCTGACTCTTAATAAGTGCCCCCAGGTCTTGCCGGGCCCTCTTCCTGTCCTCAGGTTCCCAGGCCAAAGGCCACTGGCTCTTACTCAGTCTCTGTACCAGAAGCCCCACCCCTGTGCGTTTCCCGCCACCCCCGCCTTCCCCTGCCCCAGTAAGTGGTGTAATCAGAGGCAGCTGTTTAAACTGGGAGAAAGGTCCGCACCCAGCCTTTACCCTGCCAGTGGGGGGTGGAGGATTTGCTGGCGGGACCCCAGAGTGTTGGGCAGCTGGCAGAGTCCTGGGGTCTCCACCTTCAGCCTCTCGCTGCTTGGCCAATCGGGGCCAGGGTCTAGGAGACCCTGCATTCCTAGGTCTGTCCCTGTTCTCTCTCCCAGGTTTATCCTGCTCCAGCTCTATTCCCTGTCCTCTCCCTATACCCTCACCCACAATGGTCAGGAGTAATTTTAGGGCCAGAAAGGGAGCCAGTCGTTCTCTCTGTCTTTTCCCCATACCCTGCCCTTGAGGGGTAGAGTCGGGGATAGTCTTCAAGTGTTTCTATGGTGAGGGGAGTTCAGCCTGGAGATTCTTCTTGCCAGATACCACCTTTATGCCCTACTTTGTTTTACCCTGATGCTTGATGTGGGTGGGGGTGATGGTAACCACGCAGAAGGGCCCGATCTTTCTTCAGTTTGATGCAGACCCCACCTTAGACACATCCCCACATTGTTTGCACTCATGTACCCTCCCAGACGCATCAGGGGGGGCCCTGATGCATCCCTCCCCACCACCATCACCACCACACACACACACACACACACACACACACACACACGCACACACACACACACACACAGAGACCAGGTCACACGTCAGCACAGACACACTCTTATAGCAACACAGAGTCCACACTCTCAAACAAGGATGCAGAAGCCCAACCTCAGACAGACGCCCCCAGACACTCATAAAAATCCAGACTCACTCCTGAAGGACATGGAAATGCACAGACTGAGGCCAGAAGCACCAGCACAGACCAGCACGTACAGACACACCCTCACTCCACACTCCTCACTCCTCACCTCCTTCACCCGTGTACAGGTACTCCTCCCCAGGCATACATGGACAGATGGGCTCACACACAGATACTCTCTCACACACCCTGTCCAGGCATGGGAGCCAGGGTGCAGTGGTCTGTCTCCCAACACAGGGCTCAGCCAGCATCCTAACCTGCTTGGCCTCCTTAGGATTCCCTGAGGAGCTCTACCCTTCTCGCCCTGACCCATCTTCCTGGGCAACAAAGGAAGTACCAGAGACATCATCAGTGGGCCCCAACCCTTGATGCTTCCCAAATCCTTCCACTAGGCAGGCTGCTCTGGGATTGGGCATCTAGAGTGGTATCGTCCAACAGAAATATAACGTGAGCCACATATGCAATTTTGAAATTTTCTGGTAGCCACATTAAAAGAGGTAAGAGTAGGGGCACCTGGGTGGCTCAGTTGGTTAAGTGTCCGACTTCAGCTCAGGTCTGGTCTTGATCTCTCAGTCTGTGAGTTCGAGCCCCACGTTGGGCTCTGTGCTGACAGCTCAGAGCCTGGAGCCTGCTTTGGATTCTGTCTCTGTCTCTGTCTCTGTCTCTCTCTGCCCCTCCCCACTCATACTCTACCTCTCTCTCAAAAATAAATAAACATTAAAAAAAAAAAAAAAAAAAAAGAGGTAAGAGTAGTTAAGTGAAGTCAATTTTAATTTTATATTAACCAATGTATCTGAAATGTTATTATTTCTGTATATTAATCATATAATATTAGCAATGAGATCTTTTGCATTCTTTTTTGTGTATGTGGTATTAAGCCTTTATTTATTTTTTTTTTATTTTTTATATTTTTTGGTATTAAGTCTTTAATGCCAGGGGCGCCTGGGTGGCTCAGTTGGTTAAGTGTCCGACTCTTCATTTCAGCTCAGGTCACGATCCCTGGGTCATGGGATTGAGCCCTGTGTCGAGCTCCATGCTGAGCATGGAGCCTGCTTAGGATTCTTTCTCTCTCTGTTTGCCCATCTCCCCCACTCATGCTCCCTCTCTCTCAAAAAATAGAAAATAAATTAAATTAAAGAAAACTTAAGTCTTTAAAGCCAATGTAGTATTTTACAGTTTGAACTAGTCGCATTTCAGGTGCACAATAGCCACATATGGCTGTTTGAACTAGTTTGAACTAGTCGCATTTCAGGTGCACAATAGCCACATATGGCTGTTGCTATGTATCGGACAGTGCAACTTCGTCTGGCTTTCAGCCCCGGCTCTGTGCCCTAGGGAGCTTTGGGAAGAAAGTGTTCTTTAACATTTGAGCCTCTCTGCCATGGACTCTGCTTTCCTCGGCTCCTCAAAACCTTTCGCCTCTAAATCTCAGCCCGTCTCTTGAGTGCACTGTGTGGAGGTGTTGGGGTCCGTACGTATCGGGCATGTGGGGAGCGGACTCTGCTGAAGGCCTAGTTCTTCCCTCTGCCTGGCTGCTCCTGGGTGTGTGGCTACCTTTGGGAATGATGACAAAGGGCCCTAGGTGGGAAAATCTAACCAGCCCCTGAGACCTCCTGAGATCTAAGAAATGCGGGTATCTGAAACCCCAGTCTTGGTGTCCTCATCGCCTCTCCTGGCGAACAAGTGGGTAGACAGCCAGTCTCGCCACCTTGTTCATGCCAGGCTTCCCATCTGCCCCCAGGTCCACAGAGTAAGGCCCAGCGATGTCAGCCAAATGAACACAATTGCCTGGGCACCGAGATGTGTATTCTCATGTCCCGCCTCTGCAACGGAGTCCAGGACTGCGTGGATGGTTCGGATGAGGGGCCCCACTGCCGAGGTAAGGGCTCTTCCACTTCTCCTGCCCCAGATGGATGCAGTGAGTTCTCGGCCAGGCCTGTGATGGGTCTGGAGGCCCACCATCCGAGGACTGTCCTCACACCTTCAGTGGGGATGAGGCCTTGTCCTGCTCCCATGCACAGAGATGCCACCAGATAGCAGCCCAAATCAGTGGGCCTTTGAGTTTGGAGCTTGGTCAACAGCCCTGTGGGGATCAGTATGGGTGCTGGCCTGGACACTTCTCTTTGGCCGTGTGTGCTTGGCCAAGTCACTACCTCTCTCCAAATCCCAGTATCCCACCTGTAAAATGAGAGCTTTGCACTAGGTCAGTATTTTCATACCTTGTTGTTGTAGATAGTAGGGTCCTTTCTTCACATGGTTTCTTACATGCAACCTGAGTGTGAACAGGGAAAAAGAGATGCTGTGATTGAAGCTGGGGGTGGGGATGTGGAGTCTGGTTCACCTAATTCCCTGCCGATGCCCCAGAAGCCATCCCCCAGGAAATGCAGATCTTTGAGACACTCTGAAGCTGTTTGATGGGAGGTCATCCAGGCCGAGGAGGGAACGTTAGGATGATAGGTCCCTTCCCTGCTGTAGCTCAGGTCGCCAGCCCTGCCATTCTTCCCCCAAAGGCCCTGTGGGCCAGGGAGAGTCTGGGTCATGTGTGAGCAGCGGGGGAGGATTCCGTCGGTAAGGCAGAGACTCATACGTGCGAGGCAGGGAATAGGGAATAGTGACTTCTCCCTTCTACTGAGCTGAAGGTCTCCAGAGCTTGAGCAGGCCCCTGGGTGATGGTGGCGTCTGGGCCTGTACGCATGTCAGAAACATCTGCCTGTGGGAGGAGACACATCTGGATCCTGTTCACTGAGGGCAGGGAGTGTGGAGCAAGGGAGTTTGTGGAAGATTTTTATCCTTTCCTTGGGTTGATTTTGCATGTTTTTGTCTAGAGCTCCTGGGATGGGATGCAGAGCTTAGGCCTAGGGGCTGACTTGAATTACCATGCCCATCCCATCTTATCGAATGGTACATGTTCAAGTTTGCTTCCTTTTGAATACCTTGTCAGCATCAAAAACAACAAAGAACCTGGAGAACCTAGGGTCTGAACTCCCTTCTCTGATATGACAGAAGTTGGGCCTCCTTATCCTCCTGCCGCACATCCAAAAGAGAAATTCTTCTCTAGATTTTCCAAAACAAAAAATTACCCCCCCCCCCCCCCCCCCCGCTGATCTCCATCTTTTGTGGGGAAGGGCTGGACAGGCAGCACATTTGGGCTGTTGGGTGGAGGTGGGGAGGAGAAGAAATAACCAGGGACTGGCCCCCCAGTCCAGCTCCTCCTGGCAGGCTTAGTGCTTCTAAACATCTTAGCATCTCGGGCAGCTCTCTCTCCTAGGTGGGGGGGAAGTGGGGGTGTGAGGCCGCTGGACAAAGGGGTCTTTGTGGCCAGGCCGCCTGGCCCCACGCAAGGCCATTAATTGGGTCGCTGGTCTGGGGGGGCAGCTGCTCTCCCACCTCTTCCCCCTCCTGTCTCATTCCCTTCTGTCTCCCCTGTGGAAGTGGGTCAGCAGCAGGAGGAAAAGATTAGAGAAAGGTCCTGAGGGAACCAGTTTTGCTCCTCCTCTCATCTTCTACCTGGACCTCGGACCTTCTCTCTGAGGTCTCTAGGGCTTGAGGGATGGGCTGGAGAGGTGCTTCCAGACTAGAGCTGGGATCCTGAGGGGAGAGACCCCATCCCATGCCCACTCCTCACCCTCAGCCCCGAAGCCAGCATTGTGGTTCCTGGGCAGGGCAGATAAGAGGCATATGAAGAGAATGAGACTCACTGTCCTCGCTCCCTGTTGACCCCCACAACTGCCAGAGCCCCTCTTTCATGGAGACAGAGGGAGTCCAGAGCAGGAAGATGTGGATTCTAAGCCATAATTGGCTGTGGGACCTTGGGCCTGTCTTATAACCTCCCTGGGCCTCAGTTTCCTCACTTGCAAAATATGTCAGACGATTCCTAAGCCCCTTCCATCTCTGACACTACAAGCCTTGGAAGTGGTTTCTGAAGGGTTGGCAGGAGTCGGGGGAAGGTTATGGTCTGGGTGTGGCCGCCAGGTCTGGGGGCCTGAGTGCGTGTCGCCTGCCCCCACACAGAGCTCCAAGGACAGTGTTCTCAGCTGGGCTGCCAGCACCACTGTGTCCCCACACTCAACGGGCCCACCTGCTACTGCAACAATAGCTTTCAACTACAGGCAGATGGCAAGACCTGCAAAGGTATGTGAGTGTGTGTGCTTGTGTGCACATGTGCGTATGCTGGGGTGGGTACAGGTGGGGACGGGTGTGGGGACGGCCAGTGGGCCTGGCCGGGGTAGGAGAAGAATGAGACAGAAGGTACAAGAGAGGAGACACGATTACATGCCCTGCAGCCTGTGGGCATGACTGTGAGCCCTAACCACTTACTTCCACCAAATTCCACTAAATTCCTCTTAAAATTACATAGATCATATGTGAGTTTTCTTGTAAAAACATTAAAGCATTATAGATAAAAATCAAAGTCTCCTTCGACGAATCCTTTTCAGTTCTGCTCCCTTTTCCCTCTCTGGAGGTCAGCTGTGTTACCAGTTTGCTATCTCTCTCTCCAGTCCTTTTTCTGTACATCTCTCTTCCTGTATTCACAGATGATCTAACTGAAAGTATTGTTTATGTGCGTGCGCTCTTTTTCACATACATATCATACTGTACATACTTCTCTTCAGTTTTCTCAATAGGTTCTAGAGATTTTTCGATATTAATATGTAGGGAGGGGGGAGCGCCTGGGCGGCTCCGTTGGTTGAGTGACTGGCTCTTGATTTCGGTTCAGGTCACGATCTCATGGTTCCTGGGATCAAACCCTGCATCGGGTTCTGCGCTGACAGTGCAGAACCTGCTTAAGATTCTCTCTCTCCCTCTCTCTCTCTGACCCTCCCCCACGCTCTCTCGCTCTCTCTCAAAATAAATAAATAAGCATATAAAAATATATGTAGACATCTACCTCGTACTTTTATGTTTCTTTTTTTTTTTTTTTCAACGTTTATTTATTTTTGGGACAGAGAGAGACAGAGCATGAACGGGGGAGGGTCAGAGAGAGAGGGAGACACAGAATCGGAAACAGGCTCCAGGCTCTGAGCCATCAGCCCAGAGCCTGACGCGGGGCTCGAACTCACGGACCGCGAGATCGTGACCTGGCTGAAGTCGGGCGCTTAACCGACTGCGCCACCCAGGCGCCCCTACCTCGTACTTTTAGAAACCACTATGGAGTATGACTATTGATTACCACAGTTTACTTGGCAATCTCCCTATCGATGAGTAAGATGTTCCAGTTTCTCTCTGTCACAAACAGTGCACCTTTTCTGTTTTAAGATTTACCTCCCTGGAGTCTTTGCACAAATGCCACCTTCTCAGTGAGACCATCCCTAAAATCACAACCCACTGCCTACATTCCATATCCCCTTTCTCTGCTTAATATTTTCCCACAGCACCAGTCACTTTTCCACTGTATTATCACCTCTAACGTATAACTTACTTCTCTGTTTATCATGGAATGCCAATATTTCATTTATTATCAGAATTTAAGTTTCATGAGGGCAGCAGTTTGAATCTCTTTTATTCACGGATATATCTTCAGAGCCTAGGACAGTACCTGGCATATAGTAGATACTCAAGAAATCTTTTCTGAATGAATGGATGATGTGCATGCGTGTGGGTATTTCTCGAGGGTAGATTCCAAGTTCGGACTTGCTAGGTGATAAAGTTTGCACCTTTCCTGTTGTGGTAGATTCTGCCAAATCGCCCTCCGAAGAGGCTGTAGGGATGGACACCACCTTTGGATGGTGTCTGAGGGCACCCACTTCCCTGTCCTTATTACACTGGAGATGACCATGCTCTTGCCCTTTTCTTGGCAGACTTTGATGAGTGCTCAGTTTATGGCACCTGCAGCCAGCTGTGCACCAACACAGATGGCTCCTTTACATGTGGCTGTGTGGAAGGATACCTGCTGCAGCCAGACAACCGCTCCTGCAAGGCCAAGAATGGTAGGTGGGGTCACCTGTGGTCACAATGATAGGTGGCCTCCATGTTGCTCCCCGATGGGGAGTGGCCTGAGAGGTCCTAGAGCCCCTTGCTGCATCGACCCTTCTCTCCTCCACCTACAGAGCCAGTAGACCGGCCCCCTGTGCTGCTGATTGCCAACTCCCAGAACATCCTGGCCACGTACCTGAGTGGGGCCCAAGTGTCTACCATCACGCCCACTAGTACACGGCAGACCACAGCCATGGACTTCAGCTACACCAACGAGACTGTGTGTTGGGTGCATGTTGGGGACAGCGCTGCCCAGACACAGCTCAAGTGTGCCCGCATGCCCGGCCTGAAGGGCTTCGTGGATGAGCACACCATCAACATCTCCCTCAGTCTGCACCGTGAGTCGCCTGCTCCCAGCTTGGAGAGCAGGGGAAGGGAGGGAAGATGGGCAAGCTGGTGCCTGCCTAGGACAAAGGCAGTTAGAGGGGATGACCCCTGTCTGGGGCAGGAGTCTAAATAAGAAGGCCTTGCCTGAAGCTAAGGCAGGGGGCTGCACAAGATGACACCTACTTGGAGCAGGGACAGAGTTATGGCTATGCTCCCTTCCTTCTTTCTGAGCTCCAGATGGCTCCTGATTTTGGCCCAGGGCTGAGGAAGAGGGCTAAGGAGGCACTGAATGGTCAATCTCCAGAGACAAGGGACTGTCCCTTCTCAGAGAGACAAGTGTTGATTAGACCACAGAGGGGCTTTCCCATGCAGCAGGAGTCAGGGCAAGGGAAAGAAAGGCCTGGAGCCTTGAGGGAAGCTTGCTAAGTTAGGACTGAGTGCAAAGAGGTCAGGGCTTGGCTGGGTTTGTCTCCATGTTCCATTATTTTCCTTGGGGGCATGGCCAGAATGGACCCACGGCTGCAGGGTGAGTGTGGGGGTCCTGAGGCTGTTTTGGGGACAGCTTTGTGGCAGTGAATGAGACTATAGGAGAAGCAGTGAGCCCTGGGGCCACAGGAGTGTTTTAAGACCTCCTGGATGTTCCCATTCAAACTCCTTCCCGGGGCTGTACCTTGCTGTCTTAGGGGTGGAAGACAGGGTGTACCTAGGGATGGGGCCAGGGCATAGATCCACTGCCTGGAGCAGCCCCACTCCTCTCAGATGCTGTTACATAAACAAACAAAACATCTGGCACCATCACATTTCCAGGAAATGCACCACAGGGCTGAGGGGGAAGATCTGGCCTGTGGTTGATCTGACCCCCGGGAGGGAGGGTAACTTGATCTGTGATCTTGAATAAATCAGAATTCCCTGTCCCTGCTTTGATTTCCTAATCCACATCATGGGTATGAGCTTGCCTGTCCAGATCAGATAAACTGAACTGAAAGCCAGAGGTAAGTCACAAGCTTTAGGATGGTGAACCTTGGGCCTCGTAGATCTTTAAGTTCCTTCATTGTGTCCCCATATGATGATCCCCACAGAAGACAGAGATCCTCGGAGGATGTATGGGCTTAGCTGTGGGGTAGCAGGGGTTCCTGAGAGCCCTCGCCCTCTGTGGCCTCATCGTATGGTCCACACCTTGTCTCCAGCTCCTCCAGAGCATCCCAGTGATGTCCTTGGGCTGTTGGTCACCAAGGCTCACCTGTGATCAGACTCGTCTTCCTTGGAATGCTGGCTGGGGGCTGCCACACGTGGTTGGCTGAACTCTTGAGGGGTGGGCAGATCAGGGAACCCTATGGCAGATAGGGTAGCACAGGGTGAGACCCCATGAGACGGCTGCCCTCTCCCTGCTCCTTGTTGACAGCCCCACCCAACAGGCCTGTCTGGGCAAACAGCTCTGGCAGCTCCCTCCCTGGCCCTGCCTCCGGGCCAGACGATGGGCTCGTGGGTAGGCGGCTGGCGAGGGTGCCCTGATGGGAAACTTCTCCACTTTTGCTCTGGCCTGGCCCCCTCTCCTGCTTTCCTTCCAAAGTGAAGCAGGAAATAAGCTCAGGCGGGTACCCCTCCCTTGGCAAATAGAACCTTGCCTCCCGGTCTGTTGGATTCACTGGGCCCCCTGGGGCAGAGTCCAGGAGGCAGGAGGAGACCAAGGTTCCGGGGAGAAATGCTAGTGGGGTGGATGAGTGGGTTCCTGTGGCCCCAGCCTCTGTCCCTCCTCCCTGCCCTGCCCCCACCCCACGCTCCATGCCGCCTGAATGTCTGGCTGTCACCCTGAGGATGGTTGTTTTGCTCTCATCCCACAGACTAATTATGGGCCCTGAGATGAGGATGTCGGAAGTGTCTCTCCCCTAGCACCCTCCCCCATCTCTAGTTCAGCCCCTTCCCAGGAGAGGCTGGGTGCCCTGTCCTGGTGTGCGGGTGGCTGTCCCAGGCACTCACCTGTGCAGTGGGCTGCTGGCCTGTAATTAGCTCCCCAAGGGGGATGAAGAAGAAAGGCTCCTGCTTTCTCCTGCTTTCTCTCTGCCCCCTGGGGGAGCTCTCCCTGCAATCATCCCATTCCTGGCTAGGACCATGACCTCCATTGCATCCCTGGGAGGGAGCCCCATGCAGGAGGGAGGAGTCTGACAATTGAGAGGTGCTGGGGCCCAGAGACCAAGACGCAGAGAGGCGGAGAGAAGCCTGCTTGCTGCTGTGGGAAGAAGGGGGAGCCTGCCCCAGAGAAAACTCTGGGAACAGAAATAGAATAGAAAAAAGGAAGGACGCCAGGAAGTGAGCCTGTTTCACATGGGTCCTAGGGCTTGTGTGTTGCAGACCTGCTCTGAGTCCTGAGAGGCCTCAGAGGGCCGCTCCCAGAGCCCTGCCATGCTCAGGGGTTGGTGCAGCTTCCAGGAGAGGCTCCGTGGAGCCGGCTGGGGATCGAAGCTCCTGCTTTTTCCTGTCTTGATCCCAGCTCCTTCCCTCTGTTTCTGCCCAAGAGTTAGGGGACACTGTCTTACCAATGTCCTCACACGTTCCGGAAGGTGTATGTGCGTGCGTGCGCATGCGTGTGAGTGTGTGTGCGCGCGCCGTGCGCGCTTTCCTCCCTTAACTGAGCCCAGGCTGCCAGTGCTCCTTCCCCTGTCTGTGACTATCACTGGCTTGGATTGGGGGGCCTTGGGGGCTGAGTCCTCACCTCTTCCTTTCCCTCCTGGGATATAATTCCAGGACACATCCTCCCCTCTGCCACTGTCCCAGCAGCATGGGGAGGTCTCTGTGGATTCTGATTCTGTGACTGGAGAACATGGTGGTGAGAGCTGGAAGATCCTTAGGGAGGACCAAGGCTGGCCCCTCAGTTTTTAATACTGCCTTTCCCAAAGCAGGCTGCCTTGATTTTAGGTTATACATGGATGTGCATTTTTTATCATTAATTTTTATTTTTATTTATTTATTTTTTTTTTTTAATTTTTTTTTTTCAACGTTTATTTATTTTTGGGACAGAGAGAGACAGAGCATGAACGGGGGAGGGGCAGAGAGAGAGGGAGACACAGAATCGGAAACAGACTCCAGGCTCCGAGCCATCAGCCCAGAGCCTGACGCGGGGCTCGAACTCACAGAGCGCGAGATCGTGACCTGGCTGAAGTCGGACGCTTAACCGACTGCGCCACCCAGGCGCCCAATTTTTATTTTTTAATACCTATTAGGAAACTCCTGTAACTAGTATATCAAATCTGTGATTTCATAGATTGCTTAGGATATAGCAAAATAAGAAAAATGAGTTGACTTAAAGAAACAGTAGGTAAATGATAGTGCAGGCTGTACATCACCTTGGCAAGCATTTCGAAAGTGATACACAAAATTAAAAAAAAAAAAAAGAAAAAGAAAACGGGGCGCCTGGGTGGCGCAGTCGGTTAAGCGTCCGACTTCAGCCAGGTCACGATCTCGCGGTCCGTGAGTTCGAGCCCCGCGTCAGGCTCTGGGCTGATGGCTCGGAGCCTGGAGCCTGTTTCCGATTCTGTGTCTCCCTCTCTCTCTGCCCCTCCCCCGTTCATGCTCTGTCTCTCTCTGTCCCAAAAATAAATAAACGTTGAAAAAAAATTAAAAAAAAAAAAAAAAAAAAAGGAAAGTGATACACAAAAGACCGAAGTTCTAGAAACTGAGACCCACAGGGGTCGGTTGGCCTGGTAGTACCAGAGCCAGGCCTGGTTTGCCCATTCTGCCCCTCACCTCTGTCCACGCTCTCAAGGAAACTTAAACTCTGCCCAGCCCCCTGCTGGCTGCCCCTGGGCAGGGCTGAAAGTCAGGTCTGCTGACCCAACCCACCCCCAGCCCTGCATTGCCTTGGCTGTGTTCCTCTGACCTGTCTTCCAGTAGCTTTGGGTATGTTTCCACTGTAGAAAGAATGAGGGCAGACTGCAGGACTGGGGCCCTGGGAAGGGGGGTGTGTGTGGTGAGGGGAAGTTCTGACGCTGTGCATGGAGGCCTTCAGGAAAATAAGTTTTGTGTATGAGGGGATGCTCTGGAGGTGCCCTCAGGGGTCCTGGGGTTTCTTCCCTGCACCATCCGCATGGGGAAGGAGGAGGTAGGAATAAACGGCCCCCTAGGCTGCAGGCAGCAAGGTTGCGAAATGTGGCCCCAAGTCCAGCTGGCCAGTTTCACTTATCCCTCCCTCTTTCTTTGTGTGCGTGTGTGTGTATGTGTGTGGTTAAAATCACAACAGGAAATGGGTAGTGATGTGTCTAGAGGGAAGGCAGAGAGGGGGCAGAGAGTAACCCCCCTGCATCTGTGATGAACTGTCTTCCCCGGCTGGAAGGGGAGCTGTCTTTCCACTGAACTGGGCAGCCTGGGCCCTCTCAGCCTCCCAGTCTATGCCTATGGAATACTTCCAGATTTCATATATGAAAGCCAGCCACCACCACCCTCTTCCTTGGCCTTCCTCACCCACAGGGTGTCAGAATCCTGGGGGGCGGGGGCTCCTGCCAGCACACTCTTTGGCCTTGGGCCACCCGCATCCTGGTGCTTTTGCTTCCCATTCCCGTCCTGAGTTTCTTAATCATTTCACAGCCCTGCTCTCCTCTCCCTGGCGAGGCCAGCCCCACGTCTCCTCTCCGTCTCAGTCTCCCGGCTCAGCTCCAGCCTGTCCTCTCCTCCCCCGCTGTCTCCTTGAAGTTGCCTCTCCACCCAGCCTGCTCCCTAACCCCCCCCTTCCCTGTTTTCAAGCCACAGGAAGTAACTTAAGCAAGAAAGATGTGTTTTAGAGCCCAGCAAGGATTTCTCAATAGTGGGAAGATCCTGGTTCTGATTCTGAATCAGAGCTGCAGAATTTAGGCATCTCTTCTCTGGGACCAGCACCGACTGCCTTTGTGGACCTGGGCCAGGCAGGGGAAGGAGCAGAGCAGAAACCCCAGGCGGGTACAAGTGGGGCAGGAAGGGAGCCCAGGGGACAGAGGTGATGTGATGTGGCTGAGCCAGGGCCTCTCTGGGAACAAGAGGAGCTAAAGTCAGGGCTCGGCAGGAAACAGGAGCATGAGACATGCCATTTGGCAAAGCTCCTGCCAGACCTGCCTGGCGGTCTTTTACCTGCTTGCAAAAACCCCAGACTCCTGATCCTCTCCCCCAGCCCTCCCTCTCCCCACTCAGGGCGAGATCCCCAAGTGGCTCTGAGAAGCGGGAGGATTACCAGACAGATGTGTTCTCCCACCATCGTGGGGGCGTCCCAAAGCCAGAGAAGGAGGATCCTGGCAGTCGAAGGAAAGGGAAAAAGTGATGTCCCAGTTCTAGGACAACAGCGTGAGGAGTCAGTACTCAACAAATATTTGTTGAATGAATCAGTATATGTGTGTCAGACGCCGGGGACAGAGATGAAAGACAGCACCCTGCCCTCACAATATTTGTAGTCAGGTAAACAGACTGTGATGAAAGGACTTACTGGGCCATACAGGCACCTGAAATACAGAAATCTTTCTTCTGGGGGCCTGAGCTGAGTCTTGAAGAATAGTAGGTGTTAGCCCCAAACTGCGCACCTGGAGGGCCCGCCGTTAGTCAGGAGGCCACAGAGTTCTAGCTGGAGGCACAGATGGTAACTGGGTGGACAAGGTAGGGAAGAATGGGGTTGAGGTGAGGGAGGATCGTGGTATGAACAGCTCCCACTTATAGAGTGTTAATTATGTGCCAGGCCCTGTGCTAAGTGCTATTAATACACCGTCCCATTTTACAGATGAGCAAACTGAGACTCAGACATTAAGTAACTTTCCCATAATCCCACAGTTGGAAGATGATAGAACCAGGATTCGAGCCCAGGCTGTCAGTGTCTAGAGCCTGGCTGGGCCCAGGGTGGAGCAGAGTGACGGGAGAGGTGGGGAGTTTCCTGGAATAAGGACCAGAATGCGTGTGTCCACTGGGGATGTGGTTAAAGTGGAAGTGGGATTCATCCTCCCTCATCCACAGGCCTCATGACCTGTCCTACAATCTTTGGGTATGTGGATGCATTGGGGGATATTTCCTCACGGCAGGGAGGCGCCCTTCCTCCCCCAGATTTGTTTTAGGGAGAGTGACTGGAGTCCTGTAGCTGAAGCCAGGGTCTTCTTAGTAATGGGGTGGGCTGTTGTTTTTGGGAAAGCAACCACTGTTTAGGGAAATAACTCTTGAACAATGTGAATGGTAGAGAAGTTGAGAAAAATTGGACTTATAGGGGATGCAGAGTGCTGAGCATTGGGGTGGGGGAGTGCAGGGAGGGCTCGTCAGTTATAAACACACACCCCTGGTCTATTCTGGAGCCTGGAAGTGAAAGTCTTTAATGACATTACTGGCAAGCTGTGGTCTGTCCTCTTGACTATCCCATCCCCCTCCCAGCTTCCTAGCCTCCTTCTGTAAGCTGGAATTCCCAACTTCTTGGCCCCCAGAACATCCCCAGACCCTTTCCACAACATAGCATTCCTCTCCTTGGGTTTACTTGAGGTTCTCCTGTCTTCAGGATTTGGGGCCTTTGGCCAGAGCCCCTTGGAGGGTGCTCTGGGGTGGCTCAGCCCTGAGAAGCCTGGGCTGCAGGGGACAGTTGCCCTCTGAATGTGTGGGGCCAGAACATTCAGGTCCTCTAGGGTGAAACCCAGGACTCAACTCCCCCCCCACCCCCTCATGCCGTGAGACAGGGCAATGGCCCAGATACTGCCTGTAGGGGAGCCCGGGAGGGAAGGTTCCCTCTCCCAATCTGAGCCCATCTGTCTACACTGGCCTTAGGTATGAGTGGCCAAGTGCGTGCGTGTGTGTGTGTGTGTGTGTGTGTGTGTGTGTGTGTGAAGATGTGTGCATGTGTGTGAGTGTGTGTGGTTGGGCGGGCAGAGGAATCTGGACTTTAGGAGAGGGGAAAATAATGTGGTGGAGGGGGGTTGGATAACAAAGGATTTTTTTGCTTGCGACTAATAGTCTCCAGCTGCAAAAATACCAAAGTGGAGGCAAGGCCGGGCTGGGGACTCCCGTTCTTGCCAACTCCTCACCGGCCTGCTGAGTGGGGCCGTGTCTGGCCTTTGGGAGGTGGAAGGAGAGACCGGCCAAGGGTAAATAATCTAGAGCAAGGACGATCCTTCTGCCTTCCTTCCCGGAATTGGCAGGGAACCCAGGCCAGGAGGGAGGCTCGAAGGTCAAACACTTCCTGGGGCTAAGGGGGTGATTTGTAGCTGCACCTGGGATGGGGGGGGGGCATCTGATCTCTTCAGATTTCTTCCTCCCCCCTTCTCGCTGAGGGAAGGGTGGATGGGGAGCAGGGGCAGGGTGTTGCCAGCCTGGAGCTGGGCAGTGACTCAGGGAAGCCTCAGGAAGTTAGAGAGGAGGACGCAGCTGCACCAGCTGGTGCTGGGAAACCAGCTTCCAATGATGAAGTTCCTCTGCATGCCAGCAGCCCCCCGCTGTGCCCACCAAGTAAAGGGCACGAAGCCCTATTTGCCTTTCAACCTGTTTGCCTTCCAACCTACTTGCCTGCTGGCTGCCTGGTGCTGCGGCAGGTCTCCCCCCCCGTTGCCCCCCCCCCACACACACTCTGGTTTGGGACTTTGGGTTTCCTTTGGAGGCAGCCCAGCAGCATTCATTTTAATCTGTTTTCTCCATGGTAACAGTGTGTGGAGCAGCGTGATTGCCTTATCCCAGCACTGGGCCCTCTTCCTACATGGCCTGGGACCCACACTTCCAGGCTGCTCTGCCCCTCTCTTCTACTGTCGTCAGGGTGCTAGGAACCCAGGGGAGAGAGTGGTTGGGTTTGGGGGTGCATCAGCAACCACAGGGACAATGCCTCATCCCTGTGACTTCTTTCTCCAGTCACCCTGAAGTGGGGTTTAACGGGGGGACCTGAAAAGGAAACTAGTTTGATGAGAACCTCAAATTGGCTCCTTCCCTTCCTCCCCGGCCTAAGTCCTGTGACTGTGAGTCAGTGTCAGGGCCTAGCCAAGTTCCTTGGGAGCCATGTTCCTGTTCCCTTTGCCCCCCACCCCCACCCACTGTCAGGAAATAGCCTCTGAATCCCTGTGGGGAGAGGGAAGGATTAGGGAAGAGTTGAGCAGAGCACCTAGTCATTATACCTATAGCTCTGTGGGGATAGAATAACCCCTACTGGGTTTGAGTGTGGGTAGCGTGTGGGGGTAAGGTTCAGCCAAAGGCAGGTGGTCCAAAGGTCTCTTTATTTACTGAAATTGGTAAAGGTGGAGTGCAAGGCAGGAGTCCTGAGGAGTCACTGTCTTAGGAGATCCCTAGTCTGCAAGAAGCATCACCTCTGGTGGTGGTAGTTGAAGGGGACAAGTAAGTAAATGGATGGGAGCCAGTGGGTCCTGGAGAGGAGGTGCCTAGAAGAGACCAGCAGGGGTCCCTGTCTCCAGACTTCCAGCCTCCAGACTTCCCACTGCCCTTGCTCCACCCCTACCCTCTTCAGTCCTTTTTAGCCTCTTCCATCGCCTCCAGAGATGGCATAGACTAAGTGTGGGCACCTGGTGTCCATCCTCCTCCCCTACTCACCTTTCTGAAGCTCCCCTTCTTTCTGAACCATGCCTCAGTTTACCTTCAGAGTCCTTTTATGGCCTTCCTCCTATGTTCTCTGTCCTCCAGCCCTATAGCTTATTCTCTGCTCCTTCCTACCCTCCCTAAGACATGAGGAAATTGAGCAATAGGGACATTGAAGAAACGGGAACAGGAGTGAGTAGAGGAAGTTTGGCCTATGTCACTGATTCCAACCTTTTGACACCGTGGGCCTTCCCTTTTCCATCTCTATGGGTGCCATATTTTGACATACTTTTCTCTCAGATTGCATTTATTGATGGTGTGCCCTGCTTTTCCATTTTTAAGAGTCATGGAACATGTACAGTGTTTGGTCAGTGCCCTGGCTAGCATGAGATACCCTGACTTACCATATAAAATTGATGAAAGTCCAGCCAACATCGAAGATGTGTGATATTTTGTTAGCCTGAGTGCTGGTATCTCAAGTAAAAGCATATTTAAAAATACTGGATGAGCCAGTGGACCTGTCTTCAATGCCTTTCGGTACCTCAAGAAGATGGTCCTGCTCAAGGAAGGTCTAGAGTTCAGGAAGCTTGTCCATCAACTAACCAGCCAACGCATACCTAGTGCCCCCTGTGTGCTGGCCTTGAACTCCGTGTGCAGAGCAGGGTTCTGTGGGAGGATACTCAGACACTTCACTTTGGAGAGGCCAAATAGGTAGAAAGATGGCAAAGAATACAAGGCAAAATTGTGCCCTTGCCGTTAACTCCTATAGGAGGAGCTCAGAGAGGAGAGACAGCTGTCACCTACATGGTGAAGGAGGTCGTCCCAGAGGAGGTGGGCTTCCGGGGGTGGGTTCTGCACCAACAAGGGGTGGCCCTGTCTAGAGGTGGGCCTCCCCCCATAGCTCTTTCACTCACACTTTTCAGATGTGGAACAGATGGCCATCGACTGGCTGACAGGCAACTTCTACTTTGTGGATGACATCGACGATAGGATCTTTGTCTGCAACCGAAACGGGGACACGTGTGTCACTTTGCTGGACCTGGAGCTCTACAACCCCAAGGGCATTGCCCTGGACCCTGCCATGGGGTGAGGGGCGGGCAGAGGATGTGGTGGAAGGGAGAGCGTTCAATGTCCACAACGCAGCTAACGTGCCCTCTGCCCGCAGGAAGGTGTTCTTCACTGACTATGGGCAGATCCCAAAGGTGGAGCGCTGCGACATGGATGGGCAGAACCGCACCAAGCTGGTCGATAGCAAGATTGTGTTTCCTCACGGCATCACGCTGGACCTGGTCAGCCGCCTTGTCTACTGGGCTGACGCCTACCTGGACTATATAGAGGTGGTAGACTACGAGGGCAAGGGCCGGCAGACCATCATCCAGGGCATTCTGGTGAGGCGGAAGCTGTTGCAGGGGAGCCATTCTCTAGGCCTCCCAGTGAGAGGGAGGACAGTGTGGGACAGTCTCTCTGGTGGGAAGCAGGGTGGACATGGAGAGGATGTGGCTTCTACTCTGGTGGAAACAGTCATTTTAGATACACCTTTTACTTCCCTTTTCTCACTTGATCCTTGCAATGACCCCTGGGAGGTAGGTGGGCCAGTGTCTTAGTTCACTTTTGGTGGATGAAAAAAAAGCAGGGTTCAAAGAGGTTAAGTGATTTGCCTGAGATTACACAGTTGAGAAAGAACGCTGGAACCTAGTCTAGAAGCCTTTCCAACTCAGAGGTGGCACCTCCAATCTGGGATCATTAGGGTGACCAACCATCCCTGTTTGTCCAGGACTGTCCCAGTGTTAGCCTGGGAAGTCCCACAAACCAGCAAATCCCTTTGTCTTGGACAAGTTGGACAGTCAATTACCTTGGATAAGTTATGTGGGTAGCGAGGGCTGTTACCAGGCATCATTGAGGCAAGTCTGCCCTCTCAACTTCCTAAAGCTGGGGGCTGGGGAATGTTTTCTGTGGACAGAGTTTAGGGCCCAACTCTACTTCAGTCCAAAATCATTCCATCATCTACTGTATGCCTAAATCTCTGGGGAACATTGTTCCTGCCCCCAAGGGGTTTGAGCAGAGTAGATGGGGTAAGTCCATAAATCACCAGACAGGGGATAATAGCCAGAGAGATGGAATGTGAAGGGAAAGCCTGTGTCTGGTTAGAAGATCCCAGAAATTCTACAAAGAAACGCTCTTTGAAGGATAAGTGGGATTTTGACAAGCAAAGATCTCAAAAGCAAGAAAATCCAACCAGAGGATACAGGAGTAAAACATGGAGTTAGACAACCATGGAATGAATTTGGGAGTGTGAATAATGAAATCTGGATGGGAAGCCAAGGAGCATTCCAGGGTCAGAGGGAGGGTTCCTTTCTCCTCTCACGTTGACCATTCCTGCTTGCCCATCTCAGATTGAGCATCTGTATGGCCTGACCGTGTTTGAGAATTATCTCTATGCCACCAACTCGGACAACGCCAATGCCCAGCAGAAGACGAGCGTGATCCGAGTGAATCGATTCAACAGCACTGACTACCAGGTCGTCACCCGTGTGGACAAGGGTGGTGCCCTCCATATCTACCACCAGCGGCGTCAGCCCCGAGGTGAGTGGGGCTCTGCAGCCCCTTTGTGGACCCTCCTATGGGAGCCCCCGGTTCTCTCATATCATGACTACTTCTTGTAGCCATCCACCCTGGACTACCTCCCCTGTCCCCTCAGATTCCCCTGCCAGCCCCTTCCTGCCCTTCAGCCTCCAGATCCCACCTCCAAGGAGCTCCTGCCCCCCATTCTGCTCAGAACATAGGTTGTTCCTCCCAGTTCCCTGGCTGCTTTAGAGTAGAAGCACCTGACCACAGGCGATGGCATGACTGTCTCCCCTGATCACAGAAGCCCCTACCTGAGAGTCTGAAGGCTAAGTTATGGTGGGGCAGAGAAATCCTAGTCCTGTGATTTCTGAATCTTCAAAATGGGACAATAAGCATAAAGACCACATCTGGGTGGGGGGAGGGACGGGTAGGGTGCCCGGCTGGTTCAGTTGGTGAGACATGTGGCTCTTGATCTCAGGGTTGTAAGTTCAAGCCCCACATCGGGCGTGGAGCCTGCTTAAAAATTAATGAATGAATGAATGAATTAAAAAGACCACAGCAGGATGGAGTGTGGTCAGACTTCAGGACATCTTCTCAAGGCCTGGGCACAGGGGCTCTGAAGAGTCCTGACTGGCTCTCTACCCTGCCTGCAGTGAGGAGCCACGCCTGTGAGAATGACCAGTTCGGGAAGCCAGGTGGCTGCTCCGACATCTGCCTGCTGGCCAACAGCCACAAGGCGCGGACCTGCCGCTGCCGTTCCGGCTTCAGCCTGGGCAGTGACGGGAAGTCATGCAAGAGTGAGTGACAGGGAAGGGCCTGTGTGCCTGCTGGGATGGGGTGGGGCGGGATTCTTATCTGTCTCCTTACAGCTGGCTGTTTCCATCAGAGATGCAGAGAAATGAAGGGATTTACCCGACATTTTGCTTCTAGTGAGGGGCATAGAAGGAATTTGAACCCACATCCAAGAACAAGGCTTTTCCCACTACCCTACTCGGGCTCCATAGAAGGCTGTCAACTGGCCCATTCACTTCATTCATTCATTTTTTCACTCATTCACTCGACAAATATCCAGTGAGCATGTACTACGTGTCTGGCACTCTCCTGGCAATGAGGATTCAGCAGTGACAAGATAGATGTCATCTCTGCCTTCCAGAGCTTGTAGTCTGGCAGAGGAGACAGACAAATAAAAATAGCTTCGGGTGGTACCTGGTGTTAGGAAGAAAATAGAGTGGAATGTAGACTTGCTGATGACAGTGAGGGCTCCAGGTTAGACAGAAGGTCAGGGAAGGCTTCTCTGTGGAGGTAGGAGTTAAGCCAAGCTCTCTATGAAGTGAGGAGTTGGATCACGTGAGGACCCGAAGGCAGAGCTCCCTGGCAGAGGGAACCTACAGTGCCAGGCTCCAAGGCTGAGAACGGCACAGCATGAGTGAGGGGAGGCAGGAAGGAGAGGTTGGATGGGATTCTAAATGGGATGAGGAGCTCTTGGTGACTTTCCAGCAGAGAAGTGACGTGATGTGCTTCACATTTGTAAGGAGATCATGCTGGCTGGCCGCTGGGTGGAGGATGGACAGCAGGGAAGTGGCAGGAGGCCACTTCTGCCCTGTAAGCAGGAAGCGATGTGGCTTAGATAAGGATGATAGCAGAAGTGCTCCAAAGTGATCAGATTCCAATCAGATTCAGTGGGCACTTAACTGAAAACATGCTGCTTGTTACTCTTGCCGCATTTCCCACCTGGTTGGCATAGGCTGCCAACCAGGGTGCTGTCCCCTGGGCTTTAGATGTTTATGCATCTGTCCATGTGGCCCAGACCCCCTGCTACACCCATATCCCCTGACCCAGGAGAGCTGGGTTTTGCAGATCCTTGGGCACATGTACCTAACTTTGTGTCCCCCCTCCCCTCCTCATGCCTGCCCTAGAGCCAGAACATGAACTGTTCCTTGTGTATGGCAAGGGCCGGCCAGGCATCATCCGGGGCATGGATATGGGAGCCAAAGTCCCAGACGAACACATGATCCCCATTGAGAACCTCATGAACCCCCGGGCCTTGGACTTCCATGCTGAAACTGGCTTCATCTACTTTGCTGACACCACCAGCTACCTCATTGGCCGCCAGAAGATCGATGGCACTGAGCGGGAGACCATCCTGAAGGACGGTAAGGGCCCCCAGTGAGGGAGGTGTACAGACAGGACCCCCGAAGGGCACCCACCTGGGACAGGAAGCAATTGGAGGCCTGGGCATCGCTTTCTCAGTGCCCTTTCGGCTTGGAGAGTCCCCTGCTGACTGGCTGGCTGGGCTGGTTGGCATGGAGATGAGGGGATAGACAGATTGACCCCTGTGTGACCCCCTTCTTGGCTGAGCCGAAAAGAGGCAGGAGGATGGATGGTTAGGCAGCGTGGGCTGTCCTTGCCAACCCTTGGGAAAACTCGGGGTCTCTCTGCCATTGGCTCTGAGCCCCAGAGCTGCACGCAGTACACAGCCCACGAGAGTCCTGAGGCCTTGAATAGGAGCAGGCATACCACCACATGATTGTACACGGAAGGTCTGTGCAGCCAGACCTCACGGCCACCGGAGCTGCGTGTTTACTTGTCCTGAGAAGAGTGTGTTTTGTGAACTGAATCCAGTTTTTCCCTCTGAGCTGCACGGGCAGGTCAACAGTACTTTGTCTCTTGAATATCCATCTGTGTGGAGGCTCTGAGCTCCTGAGTTCCACCCTGTTCCTGCCCGTTGTTAGGAATACCCACACTTGGGCCCCCGGGACAGGGCTCCCTAACCAGTCATCTAGCTGACGCCAGTTAGTGCTCCCCACCCACCCCCACTGCCGTTGGCTCACAGAACCTCAGCAGTCAGCAATCATAAGACTTTGGGGAAATCAAAAGTAACTCATCAGGAAAAGATTGGGGTTCCCTATACCAAGGGAACTGCTATTTAAGCCTGAGATGAAGCCTTTGGCTCAGTGAAAAATCACTTCCTGATTTATTCGTTTTGTTAGCTCAGGATTTTTCGGCCTGGGATCTTGTGTCACACTTGTGCCCAGAGCCACCCGCACACTGCTCCAGCTCACCCCGCTCAGGCTCATGCATGCCCTCACATGAGAGGTCACATCCACCACATAGGCTTATGGGCTGCCATGGACAGTTTTCAGAGACCCTGGGCCTCAACACGGACGCGGTGGCAACACAGTCTTCCCAGCTCTTTCTTCCAACCTCCCATCCTGTCCCACCCACCCTCTAGGGCATTCCACACTCCCTGCTAGTCAGGTTGCTCAGAGGCATGTGTAGCCTGAGGGTCAGAGGCAGGCAGTCTTGAGCTTCCTTTGAGGCTCTCCATTGCCCCCTTCACTCCCTGCAGGTATCCACAATGTGGAGGGTGTGGCTGTGGACTGGATGGGGGACAATTTGTATTGGACGGATGATGGACCCAAGAAGACCATCAGCGTGGCCAGGCTGGAGAAGGCTGCTCAGACCCGCAAGACCTTAATCGAGGGCAAAATGACGCACCCCAGGGCCATTGTGGTGGATCCACTCAATGGGTGAGTCTTCCCAGGGCCTTGGGGTAGGAGGAGCCAGGAACTGTGGGTGTCAGAACTGGGAGGTGAGACAGAGAGTGAACGGGAATGGCAGCCTAGGTGGAGTGCTGAGGCAGGAATCAGAAGCTGAATGGGGAAAAGTTGCCCCATCTTCAGGACAATGGGAGTGATGTCTTACACACATACATGGAGATCTGGTTCTGTCACTGCCAACTCAGAGCCCTCTATTGGCTCCCCTGGCCCTTGGAGTGAGACCCACTTTCCTTATCAGGCCTGGGGTCCTACAGGATCTGCTTTCATCTCCTTTGACCTCATCTGCACCTCTCTTCGACTCTCGGAAACTCTGTCCCCATTGCCCACTGTCTGTTCCTCACACACCCCAGCTCTTCCTGGCTCAAGGCTTTTGCTCTGGGACTTCCTTTGCTGAGCTCTCAGACATTTGCAGATCTAGTCCCTTGTCATCATTCACACCTAGGCCTCAAATGTTACCTCCTCAGAGAGGCTTTCTCCACCTGATTCCCAGTCTACTCTCTATATCATCTCCATGCTTTGTGTCCTTCCTGGTTTTTCTCATTCTCCAATGTGTGTGACCTTCCAGTTGACTTGTTTCTTATCTGTACCCTTGGATAGGATGTGACCTCCAGGAGAGCAGGGGCCTTGTCTGCCTTGCTCTCCACTGGGTCCTTGACTCATAGTAGGCACTCAACAAATATTTGTTGAATGGAGGAATGAAGGAAGGAAATGTGGGGGCTAGGGTTGAGCAGGAAGGAAGCCCCCTGGGAGGGGATCTGGCATAGCACACGTGGAGTGGGATCACACAGGAGGCTGCTGATGGCAGGGGTAGCCCTTGTGGTGCTGACCAATCACTGCCCACAGGTGGATGTACTGGACAGACTGGGAGGAGGACCCCAAGGACAGTCGACGAGGGCGGCTGGAGAGGGCCTGGATGGATGGCTCACACCGAGACATCTTTGTCACCTCTAAGACAGTGCTTTGGCCCAATGGGCTGAGCCTGGACATCCCAGCTGGGCGCCTCTACTGGGTGGATGCCTTCTATGACCGCATTGAGACCATACTGCTCAATGGCACAGACCGGAAGGTGGGCAGGCAGGCACCTGTGTGGGGTGTTCATGTGTGCACTGCTAGACCACATTTGTGTGTGGATGAGGCTTCTTATGTGTGAATGTGTGAGTCTCTCTATATCCAGGCCTGTGCACTTCGTGCATGTTTACCTACGTACCGATGGACGTGCACACTGGTGTGCTGTGTCTTATGTGTTGTATTGCTTGAGGATTGCCTCTGTAAGAGTCCATCTGTGATTGCATGTTGTCTGCAGGCTTGACACTCATGTGCACGCCTGGGTGTATACCTTGTGTGCACCTTGGCATGTTTATGCACACACACACAGCACGCTTCGGTGTGTGCCTGCTGTGTTCGCCTCTGTGCAAGTACAGGATGACTAGAGATGGCATATATGTACGCTTTTTCGTTTGGGTGGCCATGTGTTTTATGAGTCATGTGCCTACGAGACGTGTGGACTAAGCTCTTTCATAATATATGAGGCCCTTTATGATATGGCCCCTGACTATCTCTGTGGTCTTATTTCTGCCCCTGTTCCCTGTATCCCAGTATTTGAACAAGCAACACTACACAGCTTGGAAATTCCCAGCACACAGCATATCGAGTGCTGCCCTCTGTGCTGTTGCTTATGCAGTTTTCTGCCTCCACCCCCACTCCTCCTCACCCAGCACACTGCTCAGGGGCCACCTCCTCTAGGATGTTGTCTCCAGACCCCTTTTCCATCTTGGATTGCTGTGTATGCCCTCCATGAGACATACACAGTCTTTTTCATACCACAGCTTGGCCCTTAATAGATCCTGGCAAGTGTTTGTTGGATGAAGAAGCGAACGGATGAATTCTGGCTGTATGCTCAGTACTGTGTGTGTGTGTGTGTGTGTGTGTGTGTGCGTGCACGCGCGCACACATGTGTGTTGGAGGGATATGAATGAATATGGATGGATACAAGGGAGGACAAGGTGGACGAGTTCCCCATCAGCATCCCACTGGGTCCAGTGTCTAGCACCTCACTGTGTGCAAAGCTATCATCCTCAGGGGCTCCCAGGCTAATGGGGGAAGCAAGACCCATACCTAGGACATGGACAAATGAGTAGACAAAATGGTGATCCCCCTGGGCCTTCCTCAGGCACCCCATTTGTCTATAGCTCCTCAGTAACCTCCCCTCAATTCTTAGATTGTATATGAGGGTCCTGAGCTGAACCACGCCTTTGGCCTGTGTCACCACGGCAACTACCTCTTCTGGACTGAGTACCGGAGTGGCAGTGTTTACCGCTTAGAACGGGGCACAGGCGGTGCACCCCCTACGGTGACCCTTCTGCGCAGTGAGCGGCCCCCCATCTTTGAGATCCGCATGTATGATGCTCAGCAGCAGCAAGGTACCCCCTGGGGCTGGGGCCAGTGAGGGGGTGGTACCTAGACAGGGGGGTAAGGCTACTCTGGGGAGGGGGTTGGTGAAGGCACTCCCCAGGGATCCCAGGCTCTGACTTTTGAGGCTCTCAAGAAGAAAGGCCCCCAACCCAGTTGACTTTGTCTTCCCTCTCTCCTTCCCTGCCCCATGCCTATGTGTTCTCTTCTTCAACGTGTTCACTATCTTCTCACCACTTACTCTCTTTCTCACTCCTCACTTCAATGTGTCTTTTCCCTGTCCTCTCATCTCCTGTCTCTGGCCTCTGCTGACTCTATGACAACCCTGTCCTTCCCGGCCCCTCCCTTGGCCCCTCCTTTGCAGTGGGTACCAACAAATGCCGGGTGAACAATGGTGGCTGCAGCAGCCTGTGCCTGGCCACCCCTGGGAGCCGCCAGTGTGCCTGCGCCGAGGACCAGGTGTTGGACACAGACGGTGTCACCTGTTTGGGTATGAGGTGCCCAGCCGGGGCGGGTGGCCTGACAGTGGTCCTCAGCAGGAGGGGCCACCGTGTCCAATCAGAGATAAAGGAGGAAAAGAGGGTCCTGTGGGGGCAACAGGAGGCAAGGGATGGGGAGGGAGCAGGCTCTGGGGGCCAGAAGGGGGTTTAGGGAGGACTGGGTGCTGGGAAGAGTTAGGGAGAGCGCAAAGATTAGGGGAAGCTGAATGATGATCAGGACAGCTATGGAAAGGGGAAAATATACTTTTACATTTGTCTCCCCTTGATTAAAGTAATATAACAACAGTTCTAAATATTGGAAATTAGAGAAGTGAAAAAAAGCCCGCATCCCACCAACAGACACCACTATATTGTTAGCATTGCAGGAAAGCGAACACCACTTTTTGGGCCAGGTGGGTTACGAGGTTGGTTTTCTGTAGCTGAGATCATACTGTACATAAAATGTGTTCCACCCTTTGGGGCTCATATGTGTCACAGCATTTTCTGTGTTATTGTTGCATTATTTTAAACAGCTTCTTTTTAAAGAAAAGTAGGTCATGCTCATTGTAAAAAATAAATAAACAGTATAGAAAAACATAGGAGAAAGTACAAGTCACCCAAATACCATGTGACATGGATGTCACTCTTACCATTTGGGGGGACACCCTCCCAAACATGTCTCTACATGTTTCCCTTTATTTATTTATTTATTAAAAAAATTTTTTTTTAACATTTATTTATTTTTGAGACAGAGAGAGACAGAGCATGAACGGGGGAGGGTCAGAGAGAGAGGGAGACACAGAATCTGAAACAGGCTCCAGGCTCTGAGCTGTTAGCACAGAGCCTGATGCGGGGCTCGAACTCACAGACTGTGAGATCATGACCTGAGCTGAAGTCGGACGCTTAACCGACTGAGCCACCCAGGTGCCCCACGTTTCCCTTTATTTAAACGAGCCAGGTTACACATGCTCTTTAGTTTTCTGCTTTTGTCACTTGACAGTAGGTCATAGATACGTAAGCAGAATTTTTAATGGCTGAAATATATTTCATTAGTAAACGTTCCGTAACTTTCTCAAGCATTTCTCTACCATAGGACGTTTAAGTTGTTTCTGTCTTTGTTATAATCACAGCTAACATTCATTTATTGAGCACAGATCAGGTGCCAAGATGTGATTTTAAGCACTTCCCATGCAGCAAATTGTTTACTCCTTAAAATATTCATGTAGGGAAAGTATTTTTATTATCCCCAATTCACAGATGAAGAAAACGAGGCCCAAAGTTATAACAGGGATTTGAATCCAGGAAGTCTGACCCAGAGCCTGTTTTTTTTTTGTTTTGTTTTTTTTTAATCACTTGCTTTGCTATTTCCCATATCTTCCTGCCTTCCCATATTGGATGGTTTCCTTAAGATAGAATCCCAGAAATGAAAATGGGTCCGTGGGGCCTTAATGGACAGCTAAGAATGAGTGACTAAGGCCAGGTGGAGGGCAAGAGCATTGACAGAGAGGGGAACTGAGTGGCCAGGGTAATGGAAGGATCCGCACAGATGTTGAAATCACCAAGAATTAAAGCAGGAGAGATTGGAGGAAAAGTGACACTGAGCCATCAGCTAAAAACCCTTAAGGATGACAGGAAGTGGCCTGAAGGCCCATAGAAGTAGGGGTTGGTGTAGTCTAATAACATGAAAATCAGAGCTGATTTTTCAGAAAGGGGAGCAGAACAGTCTCGAAGCAGTTGCACGGAGCAAGACAACACATGCCAAGGCCCAGTGGTCTAGGGCCACAGGAGAGAAAATAGGCACCCACGGGATGCACAGAAGCTTCAGGGATTAGAGCCGGGATGAGAGTTGGACAGGTCAGAAAGGCTGCAAGCAGAGCTTAGGGTGCAGGGACAGGAGCCGACCTGGGAGCGCTGGGCTTCTCCATGTTACCGACGCAAATGCAGACAAAGCACAAAGTGATTTTACTGCTGAGTGCTCAAGGTAGACGGGGGTGGGGGGGGTGGGGGGGTGGTGAGGTGGCAGTGATGAGGGTGGAAGGGTGGAGCCTGCAGAGTTCTGGGACCTGTTTTCACTCCGGCTGGTAGAGTTCATGCATCTGTGAAGGAAAAAGTCCAGGCACCACGACAGGGCTCTGGGGGCCCCAGGGGTAACTTCCAAGGAGCAGTTTGTGGAGATGACAGGAAGCTGGTGAGAAGCTGTCTTCTCAGGAGGGACAAAAGTAAGGGGTGGGGGGCTCTAGGCTCTCTTGGAAGCTGCTTCTTCTCGGGCCATACTGCAGTACTGAAAGTGTTCAAGTAAACATCACCCTTGTGGCTTGAGAGAGATCTGCGGTTTCCATCCAGATTATTTGTTTGTGAAGAATCACGCCCTAGGAAAGATTACTGTCTGCATATTATTTAAAATAATACAACAGGCAAACATAGTACAGAGAGCTGAGCACCTGTCCCATGACCTGCGTCTGACTTTCCCCCCACACCCCTGTGGTGCCCACAGCGAACCCATCCTACGTGCCCCCACCCCAGTGCCAGCCAGGCGAGTTCGCCTGCGCCAACAGCCGCTGCATCCAGGAGCGCTGGAAGTGTGACGGGGACAACGACTGCCTGGACAACAGTGACGAGGCCCCAGCCCTCTGCCGTGAGTCTCCTGCCCCTCTCCAACAACCGCAGGGCAGCATGTGGAGAGAGCTGGGCCCCGCCCCTCTCACTGACCCCTGAACTCCTCACTCCCCAGATCAGCACACCTGCCCCTCGGACAGGTTCAAGTGCGAGAACAACCGGTGCATCCCCAACCGCTGGCTCTGTGACGGGGACAACGACTGTGGGAACAGTGAAGACGAGTCCAATGCCACTTGTTCAGGTGTGGGGTCGGAGTAGGCTGCACTGGGCACCCCTCAGGCAGGGAGGCCGGGGCGGGGAGGGGCAGCCAGAGTGGCCTCAGGAAAGAAAGAAGCATGGGGTATTGAGGCAGAGAGGACGGGACGCTGAGCAGGAGGAAAGGAGTGCTCTCCCCTTCCCCAGGAGAACGGGGTTGGCCGGGAGGACTGAACCCGGGTGGGTGGGGAAGGCGGGGACAGATCACAGCTCCAGACTGAAGACAGAAGCAAGTCAGGGTGGATCTTCTCCTTGGAGGATACCAGAGACCCCGTGAGAGATGGGGTGAAGCAGATGCGGGGGTCAGACCACATATGTGGCTTTAAACTTCTCTCAGAGAAATGACATTGAGACCCTTGGGAAGACTTCCTGATAGGCAGAGGACAGGAGGAAAGAACAGGAAATTAAGAAAGGAGGGCAAGACTATGAACACCCTCGCCCATCCCTGTTCCCAGCTCGCACCTGCCCACCCAACCAGTTCTCCTGTGCCAGTGGCCGCTGCATCCCCATCTCCTGGACGTGTGATCTGGATGATGACTGTGGGGACCGTTCTGACGAGTCCGCTTCATGTGGTAAGAGGGACAGCAGGGAGGCTGGGCTGGCATGGGGAACAGGGAGCCCGTCGAATGTGCCCTGGGGTGGGGTGGGGGGCTGGAGGGCCCCTGAACCTTAGTCCCTGGGTGGTCTTGAGCAAGCGCCTTCATCTCCGAAGCCTGTGTGAGTTTTGTCCGCAAAATGAGGAGAATAAAAGCACCCACATCACTGTGCTGATGTGGGGATTCAGTGAGATCATGCAGGAAGAGCACTCAGCACGGGGTCAGTGGTGGGTAACTAGAAGTTTGAAAAAGGGATGCTCAGAGGGATGGGGACGAATGAGCAGAGCTTCAGGCCGAAGCCCCGCCACATAGCTTTCCCATCCCTGTCTGACCGGGCTACAGCTGCTGGTTCCAGGAGGGACCCCGCACCCACCTGCCAGGTGCCATGATGCTCTATGATCTTGAGGGCCCTACTCAGCTGTTCTTTCTCCCTGACAGCCTATCCCACCTGCTTCCCCCTGACTCAGTTTACCTGCAACAATGGCAGATGCATCAACATCAACTGGAGATGTGATAATGGTAAGAGCTTGCCCCCTTTAACCTGCCCTGATTCCTAGGAAAGCTAAAAGCCACAGCCAAGCCCTGGGTGGGAGGTAAAGGGGTTTTAGAATCAAGCTGGGGCCTCCCGCCAATCCACTAAAGCCCCACTGGGTTGGCTGGGAGAAAGGAGGACAGGCCAGAAGTGCCATGGGGGAACTAGTGTGGACAGAGGGGAGACCCTCCCTGCCACCTGTCAGTACCATTCCTCCCCAGACAGGGCCCGAGCTGCCCTTTCTCAGGCAGAGGCTTGGGGGCCAGGGAGAAATGAGTGAGAAAGGCTAGAGGGGCAGAGCAAAGAGAGCCCAGTGCCCAACTCCCTTCTCCCCGCAAACCCCATCTCCTGGGGTCCTTGGTGCACCCTCCAGGCTCCGCCTTCAGGCTCGGAAGCCCACCTGGTGGTCAGCCACGGACCAGGTGATGTCAGCCCTGAGCCACGGGGGCCAGTGCATCGTCATGTGTGTGCCGTCTCGGGGCTCTGGTTGTGTCTGTGTGTTGTGACGTGTTGCACCGGAGGCTCCAGCCCTGGCTGATGTGTGAGAGCATGTTATTGGGTCAACACCACGTTGCCCCTCATCTTTGCTGTGTCTCGTGTGCCAATGGTTGCCCTGGCGGTTTCTGTGTTTCAGAGAAGGATTGTGGGGACGGCTCTGACGAAAAGACCTGTCCTGAGCCTGCCGGTCAGTGCATAGAAGCACATGCACCATCACCCCAGAGTCCCAGCTGGCCTCGGGCCGCCTCTCAGAACCCCTAGGCAGCTCCCCTCTCCAGAGCTCCTAGGATGTGAAGGGGAAGAGAGAAGGGAGAGAGGAGGCAACAGAGAAAGACAGTGGAAGGGAAAGAAGCAGAGGGGACAGAAGAGAGGAGATGACAGAGTGGTGAGGACAAAAAGCCCAAGACACAGAGGGAGAGAAGAGAGAATCAACTCCAGATGGAAAAGAGGCAGGAATACACCCAAGGGGGAAAGCTGTACCCCAACCTTCTCAGGTGTCCCGAAAATGTGGAGGGAAGTCCAGTAGCCCCTCACCCACAAGACCTAGAAAGCAGGACGTTCATTCAGTCACCCTCATATGCCTTCCAGGAGTGGCCCCCGAGCCTTCCCAGCTGCAGGCAGTACCCCTTGTGAGTCGGGTGGCCGCAGCATGGGGCGCAGCAGTGGCCAAGCTCAGGGTGGGCCGCATCGGGCCCTTCCCTCCCCAGCAGGGCAGCCTCACCTCCACGCCACCCACCTTTCGCCCTCCCAAGCCAGAGGAATCCCTGCCTTTCCCCCAAAGCAAGCAGACCACTGTTCCCACACCCTGCCAAAATGAGAAATGGGGGAAAGGAACGCGTCCAGTCCCCCACCCGCCATCCTCCGAGACTCAGGGAAGGGCCCTCCCGGAGCCCACCCCTCCTCTCCCCGCCCCCTGCGTGGGCCATGGTGCATGCTGCAGTCTATGCAGTTTCTGTGTCTTTTCTGTTTGTTATTTTCTCAGTGGGGGGGTGGGGCGGGCTGAGGGTGGGAACGGGAGGGGGGCGTGGGGGCCCCAAGCTGGGGTCACAGAGAAGGCAGCTTGCTGACCTCCTCCTCGCCTCTCCCCTTGTTGCCTCCCCCCTCAGACAATGACTGTGGGGATAACAGTGACGAGGCCGGCTGCAGCCACTCCTGCTCCAGCACTCAGTTCAAGTGCAACAGCGGACGCTGCATCCCCGAGCACTGGACCTGTGACGGTGACAACGACTGCGGGGACTACAGCGACGAGACACACGCCAACTGCACCAACCAGGGTGGGTGCCTGGGGGCCAGCAGGCAGGATGAGACCATCACACTCCAGTCACTTAGCCATCCCTCTGTCCCTCCATCCTCCCCGTTCTGTGCTGCAGCCATCTGGGAACCAGAGATAACCCAGACATGGCTCTTATCCTCAGGAGGTGCCTGTCGTGCGGGAGAGAGACATTGTCAACAAACCTTTGTCACACACTGTTAAGATTACGGGCTTTGCAGTTGGGTGGCCTTGGGTTTGAGCTCCAGCTCTGCAACTTACTATCTGGGTGGCCTTGAGCAAATTGCTTCATCTCTGTGGGCCTCTGTGAGTTTCATCTGCAAAGTGGGGATAATAATAGCACCCACATCACAGCACTGATGTGGGGGTTCAGTGAGATCATGCACAAAAAGCACTCAGCACACAGCCTATGCTCGAGAGCTGGTAGCTTGAAAAAGGGATATTCAGGGGTGGGGGTGGGGCTGGTAAGGATGAATGAGCACAGTGGGGACCAAAGAAGAGAGGGGTTGGCCCTGTGAGGGTCCTCAGTGCCCAAACCTCCAGGACCCAGCTAGGGGGCAGTGGGGGCCGAGTCTACTGGAAGGCACAGACCCTCTCAAGGAAGATTTGCTTCTCAGCTCTGGCTGATTGTTTCCATGGAAGATTGCAGACCCAGGGTTGCCCTGGCTATAAGAGAAGTCATAAATGCAGATTTTTACGTGGAATCTACCCATTTTTTTTTAACTTTCCACATTTTTTTAAATTTTATTTTTTATTTTTTAAAATTTACATCCAAAGTAGTTAGCATCTAGTGCAACAGGGATTTCAGGAGTAGACTCCTTAGTGCCCCTTACCCATTTAGCCCATCCCCCCTCGCACAACCCCTCCAGTAACCCTCAGTTTGTTCTCCATGTTCATGAGTCTCTTCTGTTTTGTCCCCCTCCCTAAATCTACCCATTTTTAAGCCCTGCTGTATTTGTTTCCTATTTGCGGCCACAACAAAGTTCCACAAACTGAGTGGCTTAAACAATAGAAATTTCTCATCTCAGTCCTAGAGGCTGGAAACCCAAGTCCAAAATATTGGCAGGATTGAGGGAGGCCTCGCTCCTAGCTCTTGGCATTTGCAGGCAACCTTTGGCATTCCCTGGCTTGTATATGCTTCACCCCAATCTCTGCCTTCATCTTTACATGGTGATCTCCCTATGTGTGTGTGCCTGCCTATCTCTGTGTCCAGATTTCCTCTTTATGTAAGGACACAGTCATATTGGATAATGTCTCACCCTAATGACCTCATCTTAACTCGACCATTTGCAAAGACCTATTTCCAGGGGCTCCTGAGTGGCTCAGTTGGTTGAGCATCCAACTCTTGATTTTAGCTCAGGTCATGATCCCAGGGTTGTGGGATTGAGCCCCGCACAGTGTGGAACCTGCTTAAGGTTCTCTCTCTCCCTCCACCCCACTGATTCTCTCTCTCTCTCTCTCTCTCTCTCTTTAAAAAAAAAAAGATCTATTTCCAAAGAAGATCACATTCACAGGTACTATGAGTTAGGACATCAGCATCTTTTTTAGGGAACACAAATCAACCCATAACAACTGACAATGGACTTCAAAGGTTTTATTTATTTATTTTTTTAAGTTTTTTTTTTTTCAACGTTTATTTATTTTTGGGACAGAGAGAGACAGAGCATGAACGGGGGAGGGGCAGAGAGAGAGGGAGACACAGAATCGGAAACAGGCTCCAGGCTCTGAGCCATCAGCCCAGAGCCTGAAGCGGGGCTCGAACTCACGGACCGCGAGATCGTGACCTGGCTGAAGTCGGACGCTTAACCGACTGCGCCACCCAGGCGCCCCATAAAGGTTTTAAAAATACTGTAGGCCAAAATCTTTCAGCAGGCCTCATCTAGCCCCTGGACCTCCAGCTTGCAACCTCAGCCTTACAGAGTGAAGGTGTATACAGTTAGACCAGTACTGACGGCACGCATACCCACTCTGGACCCAGAACTGAGAGAGAGGGCAGGGAGGGTCACCTGAGGCCCAGGAAACAGTCACTGAGTCTCAAGGGCCATCTCAGAAGGGCTGGGTGAGTGGGACAGGTAATAGTGCCTTGGGATTCTGAGAAGGGAGCTTCTGGAGGCTTGTGGTGTGGTGGAGAAGCACTCTGCCCCTCACTCACAAGCTGGGTGAACTTGGACAAGTCATTTCCTCTGAGACTTGGCTTCCTCCCCTATAAAATGAGAGGAGATGTGTGGGGGCCTGGCATGTGGGAGCAGACATGTCCTGATTGGTAGTGACTGTTAACTGTGGTGGTAGCTGCAGTGGTCTGGGGCCATTGAGGAAGAGGCGGGGTCTGCATTGGGCCCTGATGAGGGATTCGACTGGCCAAATGGACATGAGGGAGGGTCCTCAGAAGGGGGGCGCTAGGGGTGGAGAACACAGTAGTAAGATTTAGATGGTGAAACTGAGCACTTTTGCCTCTGCTTGGGGGAGGGGGACCCTCAGACCGGAGGGGCTGATGGGGAACGAGGCTGTGTCCAAAGGGGGCAGATTATATCAGCAGTTGAAAGTCAGGCACTGGGGTCTTTGAAGGACTTTGAAGCTGGAAGGTGATAAGATATAGGAGGTGCTGGGGCGCCTGGGTGGCTCAGTGGGTTGAGCATCCAACTTTTGATTTCGGCTCAGGTCATGATCCCAGGGTCGTGGAATAGAGCCCTATGTCATGCTCTGAGCTGAGTGTGGAGCCTGCTTGGGATTCTCTCGCTCTCTCTCTCTACCCCTCTCCCCTGCCTCCTCACTCTCTCTCTCTCAAATAAAAAAAGACATAAAATAAATAAAAAATACCCTGAAAAAAATGATGTAGGAGGTGCTTTCAGAGGATAATCCTAGAAGGAGATTCGATGAGAAGGAGGTTCAGGGGCCCCAAGGAAGGAAAACCAGCCCCAAGAAAGGCCAGTGCTGAAAGGCAGGCACAAGACAAGAGCACTGACCACATTCATGGCGGGGCAGGTGGAAGGAGCGGGCGGCAGCGTGAGAACAAGGTGAGGCTCCTGCACAGTCACCTATGCCTCCGGGTGCTGTTCCTGTTCCTTTCTGGCCTCCTGAGTCAGATCTCAGTGCTGCAGCCGGAGTGATCCTGCAGAACATGAGTCAGATCACACCCCAGCCCTGCCCTCGAGCCTGCACTGGCTCCTTACACACTTGAATCAATGCCAAGCCCCACTCCATGGCCTGCAGGGCTCCCACCACCTCTCTGACCTGTGTTCCTGCCACTCATATCCTCCTTCACTCTACTCCAGCTGTGCAGTCTCAAATATGCCTCGGGCATTTTGCAAACATGCCCTGCGTGGTCCCATCTCAGAGACTTCGCACTCGCTGTTCCCTCTGCCAGGCTGCACCTCCCGGTATTCTCACGGCTGATGTCATCCAAGCCTCTGTTCAAACATCTGCTCAGAGGCCTTCCTTGACCATCTTACCCAGTAGCATCGTCATCTCTTGCTAGCCTTGACCCAGCTTCGTCTCCATGGCATGGAACACTCCCTGCAGTAACATTCTGGAATTCTGTGTCATATCTTCACTGTCTCTTCCCTGCTAGAACTTCACCTCCATGAGGGTAAAGACGGGCTCGCTCACACTGGCACCTGGAACAGTGCCTGGCACACATGAGGCACTCAAGAGGTGTTTATGGAATGAACGGGTAAAATGGAGGCAGGGCCAAGATGGGGGGCCTTTGAGTTCTGGCCCAGCAAACTGCTTATCCAATAGAGCACTGGTGTGTAAAATAGAGAGATTATAGACGAGCTGATTGCTGGGGTCCTGGGAGGTGTGACATTCCTGACTCCAAGTTAGCTTCTGAGAAGTGTCGGCAGGACTCAGAGAACTCTCCATCCCTGCCTTGGCTCATAGCTCTGGACTGGGCAGAACAGGAGGGGGATTGGGAAGGCAGACATGGGAATGGCTGACGTGGAGCCCCTACCCCCCTGCCCTCCCTCTGTCCCCCTGCAGCCACACGGCCTCCCGGTGGCTGCCACAATGATGAGTTCCAGTGCCGACTGGATGGTCTGTGCATTCCGTTGCGCTGGCGCTGTGATGGAGACACTGACTGCATGGACTCCAGTGATGAGAAGAGCTGTGAGGGAGTGACCCACGTCTGTGACCCCAATGTCAAGTTTGGCTGCAAGGACTCCGGTAAAAAGAAGGAGGGGCAGGAGCCTGACTGGGGCAACATGGACAGGAGGAGACCATATTGAGAGGCAGTGGCAAGGGAGTGGCGAGGGAGACAGCACTATGCTGCGGGGGCTGGGGTGGGGACATGGTGAGGCAAAGGGCCACACAGAAAAAGCTTGTGCATGATGCATGGGGGAAGCTTCGTAAGGGGCCAGGGACTGCACTAAAGGCCCTGGAAACCAAAACCCTCACCAGAGTTGAGCTTCAGCACCTTCTGCAGATTCTTGCTTTCTTTGCTGCCTCTGTGAATCTGACAGAAAAGGCCTCCAAGGTTCCTAGTGGACCCCAAGGCATTACAATCACGACCCTATTAGAGAAACCCATCGGGTCTGAGAAGAAAGGCATGGAGAGCCCTCCCGCCCGGGCCTGCCCTCATACTATACTCACCCCGCAGCTCGATGCATCAGCAAAGCTTGGGTGTGTGATGGCGACAGTGACTGTGAAGATAACTCGGATGAGGAGAACTGTGAGTCCCTGGCCTGCAGGCCGCCCTCACACCCCTGCGCCAACAACACCTCAGTCTGCCTGCCCCCCGACAAACTGTGTGATGGCAACGACGACTGTGGAGACGGCTCAGACGAGGGAGAGCTCTGCGGTGAGGATTAGGCCTAGCAAAGGCCCCAGGAGAGGAGTGGGGAGGGTGGCTGGGTAAGGAGTCTCGAGGACAGGTGGAATGGGGCAAGTTCATCGGGGAGTGGTCTCAGATTGGGAAAGAGCAAGCAGCACCCCAAGAAGTTACCAGCAACCCTTACTGGTTTCAGACTGGCCTCGGCAAGAGGCCGGGCTGAGCACACCACACTATTATCGCATTTAATCCATACAACAGCCCTGTGAGGCAGACAGTGTTATCATCTCCATCTGATAGAGGAGAAAACTGAGGCAGAGAGGTTAAGTAACTGGTCCGAGGTCCTAAGGTGTTGTGGAGACAGTGCAGTGCACCCCCTTCCTGCAGTCACAGACCCTCACTCACACCCACCAGAGAACAGCACAGAGCTGCTTTTAAAGATGAAGACACCAGGGTTGAGTGTTGAGGTGGTTGGGGTAGGCTTTCCAGAGGAGGCAGCGATTTAACTGGGTTCCCAAGGACAGATAGTGCCCGTAGAGAGAGAAGGTGGGGCGAGGGGGCTGTGCATTCAAGGATCAAAAGAAATAGGGGTCAGGGAGGGGAGCAGAGCAGAGCAGCCTGTCTCCTCCACGACAGGCAGAGCATCTGTTGCAGCGGGGAGGAGTGGGGGAGGAGGCAGGCTGGGACAGGCCTGAGAACTGCTGACAGGTCATCAGTCAGGGCTGGCAGATCTCAGGGTGTGTCAGAGAACCTGGCAGGACATTCCCTACCACACCCCACCCTAATCACACCCAAATCAGAAGAGATCGAGGAAAAAAGGGCAACCCCCAGAGAGAGGCAGAAAGCTGGGGCCCCCCACCACGGGCTCAAGAAGAGACCGGAAAATAGAGACTAGATGCATCCGTGATATGAGGGTGTTCCTCAGGGAAAGGAGAAGGGTGGCCCCCATGGTGGGTGCTGAGGTCCCAATCCTGGTCCTGAGGAAGCGCGGGGACAGAGGCTTGGCCGGCAATGGAAAAGAAAGATGCTACGGGCAGGGTGCCAGGGCTCTGTCTGGGCTGCCCAGGACTTGAGACCCAGCCAGGCCGTCGTCCTGCCTCCTCCTGGATCCTGACCCTGATCCTGTCCCCTGTTGCCCACACCACAGACCAGTGCTCTCTGAATAACGGAGGCTGCAGCCACAACTGCTCGGTGGCACCTGGCGAAGGCATTGTGTGTTCGTGCCCTCTGGGCATGGAGCTGGGGCCCGACAACCACACCTGCCAGATCCAGAGCTACTGTGCCAAGCACCTCAAGTGCAGCCAGAAGTGTGACCAGAACAAGTTCAGCGTGAAGTGCTCCTGCTACGAGGGCTGGGTGCTGGAGCCGGACGGCGAGAGCTGCCGCAGCCTAGGTGAACCACGGGTGAAAGGTGGCCAGGAAGGCTGGGCAGGCTGAGGCAGGCCCCTGAGCTTCAGTTGGCTGGGTTTGGGCTGCCGGATGCCAAAGGCTGTGGTTTCCCTCCATGACCAGGCCCAGGGCCAACAGAGACCCTGCCCTGCCTGCTCTTGGACAGGGCGGCTCTGAGGCAGCAAGCCTCGTGCTGACCCCTGTCACGCTCCTCCCCAGATCCCTTCAAGCCATTCATCATCTTCTCCAACCGCCATGAGATCCGGCGCATCGACCTTCACAAAGGGGACTACAGCGTTCTGGTGCCCGGTCTGCGCAACACCATCGCCCTGGACTTCCACCTCAGCCAGAGCGCCCTCTACTGGACTGATGTGGTGGAGGACAAGATCTACCGCGGGAAGCTGCTGGACAACGGAGGTGACAGCCCCCTCCTGCTGGCCCAGGACTAATGCGGGGTGCTCTTCAGAGAGAAGGGGCACCTGGGCACTCGGAGCCACAGGCCCAGATCCAGGCCACCCTGAAGCAGAGGCCCCTAGCTCCCCCATCCCCCACACTCTCGTTAATTGGGTTAGGTTTTGCTGTGGGTCTCAGTTCCTGACGCCCCGTAATTACCGTCAGCAAAGCTGCCAGCCTGATAATTAACAAAATGATCAGCCTTTCTTTGGAATGGTCTGGAGCTCCCCAAATCCTAGAACTGCAGGCTTAAAAGGAAAAAGCCATTTAGGAATGGGGTACCTGAATCATGCCTTTGATCCAAAGGCAGCCTGACCCATCACAGACATTTTTCCACACATATTGAGCATCTGCCATATACACCTGGACCTGGGAAGACAGCAGTGATCAAAGCAGGCCAAAATGTCTGTCCTCAGGGAGCTTACATGCCAGAGGAGACATCAGATATAAACAAATGAGTACAACATGGAGTATAACAGAAGGGGATAGCAGTGTGGATATAGAGAAAGGAGGAAAGGGGGTGAGTAGGGAGAATGGGGGGGTCGGCATTTTAAATGGGGTGGTCAAGGAAGGCCTCTGAGAAGGTGACATCTGAGCAAAGATTGAAAGAAGCACATTTTACTAAAGGAGTTTGTATTGTTTGTTATAGACAAAACTTGGAACCATCCTAAATGTTCATCAACAAGTGAATGGCTAAGTAGATTGTAATAATGTTCACACTATGAAAATAATTTTATATCTATCATCTATACCCATATGTGTATATATAATTATACATGATATACACAGAGATATAGATAGATATAGATATAGATATAGATATAGATATAGATATAGATATAGATATAGATATAGATATCTCCAGGGAAAAATCTTTAAGACAGTCTTTGAAGTGACTTCTAGAAAGTTCTGTCCTCATATTGATTCTGCATCTGTCCCCCAAAGCCTCCACCCTCTGCTCTGACCTCCTCCCATGGGTTAGCCCTTCAGAGAGCTGCAAGCAAAAGAAAGCTGTGACCTTCCCTTCCTCAGGGTTCTGGAAGCTAGGCCTTTTCTCTCCTTATTTGACCTCCTGGAGGTTCAGGGGGCCTGGGTGAGGAGAGTAGGGGGTCTGTGAACCCCAGTTGTATCCAGGGTGCATCAGAGGTATTGGCAGAGGTGTCAAGGTTGAGGGTGGTCCTACTATACTGTGATTTCACTCCCATGACCTTCTCTTCACCAGCCCTGACTAGTTTCGAGGTGGTGATTCAGTACGGCCTGGCCACCCCTGAGGGTCTGGCTGTAGACTGGATTGCAGGCAACATCTACTGGGTGGAGAGTAACTTGGACCAGATTGAAGTGGCCAAGCTGGATGGGACCCTTCGGACCACCCTCCTGGCTGGTGACATTGAGCACCCAAGGGCAATCGCGCTGGATCCACGGGATGGGTGAGAACCCTGCTCAGCCCCATTCTGGCCCCATGGTCTCCTCTGAAGCCTTGTTCAGCCGGGTCAGGGACACCTATCTCTTCAAACGCTATTCACCCCCTCTGCCCTTTACCAAAGATCCTATAATAGCCCCGCCCCAGGCCCTTGACCTTGGCTCCCCCTGACTCACTCCCCATTTCCCAGGATCCTGTTTTGGACAGACTGGGATGCCAGCCTGCCCCGCATCGAGGCCGCCTCCATGAGTGGGGCCGGGCGACGCACCATCCACCGGGAGACAGGTTCGGGTGGCTGGCCCAATGGGCTCACGGTGGACTACCTGGAGAAGCGCATCCTCTGGATCGATGCCAGGTCATTGCCCCCCACCACACCCCCAGACGCCTCCATCTTTCCCCTCCCCCCAGGACAGGGTGGGGTTGGGGGTCCCAGGGCTCACCAGCGATAAGGGTGGTGAAAACGCCTGAGGCAGCTGGAGTCAGAACTGGGGCGGCCAAGGGCTGGGCCCAGTAAGAGGACTGAGGGTTGGGGAGAGGGGAGAGGATGGATGTGGGGAGAAGAGGGTAGAAGCAGGGCTGTCACCCCATCCAGGACTGCCTGGCCCCGGTGCGGGCCAGGCTAAAATGCAACCTCCTGTCCTCACTCACAAACCTGTGTGCTCTGCTAGGGGACTTCATCCACCCAGGGGAAGGGCAAACTTCTAACTGGTCTGCTCAGAGTGGGTACCTTCTTCCAACCTCACCAAAAAAAAAGCCCCTGTGTGCTAACTGTGGCCCTATGGAGAAGTGAGCCAAGAGATTCAGGGCGTCGGAATCGGGATCTGAGACCTGGGATCCTAGACCTCAAACCACTCTGATTCTCACTCCATGTTGTTCTGTTTGCCTTCCCTGGCCAGCAAGGCCTGGGAGGAAGGACTGCTCCAGTGTGCTAGAACTGGGGGGGGCGATGGGCCAGGGCATGGCCCCCGCCATCATCCTCACTCTGCCCCGACCACGCTCTCAGGTCAGATGCCATTTACTCAGCCCGTTACGACGGCTCCGGCCACATGGAGGTGCTTCGGGGACACGAGTTCCTATCGCACCCGTTTGCAGTGACGCTGTATGGGGGGGAGGTGTATTGGACGGACTGGCGGACAAACACGCTGGCCAAGGCCAACAAGTGGACCGGCCACAATGTCACCGTGGTACAGAGGACCAATACCCAGCCCTTTGATCTGCAGGTGTACCACCCCTCCCGGCAGCCCATGGGTAAGGGGCCAGCAGCCTCTTTAGAAGGCCTTAGGAGAAGAGGGGGCCGTGAGAGCATGAGGGATGGCGGGGATGGGCCAGTCTGCTGACTGGAGAGTCTGGTGGCAGGTGATGCTGGAACAGGGCGTGTGAGAGTAGGTGAAGAGGGGGCGGTCGAGGTGAGAGAGGCCAGGCAGGGGCCAGCGACTCACAGGATATTTTCCATTCTCCCCTCCCCCACCCCTAGCTCCTAATCCTTGTGAGGCTAATGGGGGCCGAGGCCCCTGCTCCCACCTGTGTCTCATCAACTACAACCGGACCGTCTCCTGCGCCTGCCCTCACCTCATGAAGCTCCACAAGGACAACACCACGTGCTATGGTAGGAGGCCCCTCCCTCAAGAGCCAGTGGTAAACTGAGGCTGAAGGGGAAGGTGTCAGGTACCCAGGCTCCCAGTTGTAAGTGAAGATAGAGCATCCCAGCTGGGAGGGGCCTGATGGGACAGGTTCTAGACACAACGGCTGTAAGAAGGTGTGTGAACTCAGACAGGGAGCCCGATGGGGGCACTTCCGGATAGCCAATGACCATCAGCAGATGGAAGGAACCAGAAGAGGGAGGGACCCTAATCTGGGTGGGTGGGAAGCATGAAGGTAAGGGGCTGCCCTCAGTCACCTGCCACATGCCCCACAGAGTTTAAGAAGTTCCTGCTGTACGCACGTCAGATGGAGATCCGAGGGGTGGACCTGGATGCCCCCTACTACAACTACATCATCTCTTTCACGGTGCCCGATATTGACAACGTCACGGTGCTGGACTATGATGCCCGCGAGCAGCGCGTCTACTGGTCCGATGTGCGGACACAGGCCATCAAACGGGCCTTCATCAATGGCACAGGCGTGGAGACTGTCGTCTCTGCAGGTCCTGCCCTTGCCCTGGACCCCTGCAGTGGGTGTGGCCCCCCCACCCCCACCCCGCCACCGAGCCCTTGCTCCCATCCCTGGTCCCCTTGGTCCTGATATTCCTTTTCCAAATCCTCTCCCTTCTCAATGCCCCAACCCTGGTTTCCCAACCCTGATTCCCCCCAAAACCAGACCAGCCCCCCACTTCCTACAGTCTCCCGTCTCCCGACCTATGCCCTGCCAACACCCAATCTCCAACTCCCCACTGTGCCCCCCAGACTTGCCAAATGCCCATGGGCTGGCTGTGGACTGGGTGTCCCGAAACCTGTTCTGGACAAGCTACGACAGCAACAAGAAGCAGATCAACGTGGCCCGGCTGGACGGCTCCTTCAAGAATGCGGTGGTGCAGGGCCTGGAGCAGCCCCATGGCCTGGTTGTCCACCCCTTGCGTGGGTCAGTCCAGGGCCCAAGGTTGGGGAGCGTGGGGTGTGGGGTGGGAGGAAAAGAGGAGTCTGACTTTACCTTCCTGCCACCCTCCCAGGAAGCTCTATTGGACCGATGGGGACAACATCAGCATGGCCAACATGGATGGCAGCAACCGTACCCTGCTCTTCAGTGGCCAGAAGGGCCCTGTGGGTATGGCTTGTCCTTCCTACGCTACCACTCTTTCCTAATTCCCCACCCAGGAGATCCTCAGGGTCCCGCAATTACCCCTCTGTCTCCTGAACTCCCAGCTTAGCGCTTGTCGTCACCCTCCTCCTCCAAAACCACACATCCCTCAGCCCCCAGTCTGAGTGCCAGACTTTCTGGTGGCAGTGACGTCCCCCTCTTCTAGGCCTGGCTATCGACTTCCCTGAAAGCAAACTCTACTGGATCAGCTCTGGGAACCACACCATCAGCCGCTGCAACCTGGACGGGAGTGGGCTAGAGGTCATCGATGCCATGCGGAGCCAGCTGGGCAAGGCCACTGCCCTGGCCATCATGGGTGAGGCTGCTGGGTGGGGGTAGGGACAGGATCAGAGAGGCTGGGCTGGGTTGGCCTGGGGGTGGGGCCCTCCCCAGGGTCTCATTCCCTCCTGCCTCCCCAGGGGACAAGCTGTGGTGGGCAGATCAGGTGTCAGAGAAGATGGGCACGTGCAATAAGGCTGATGGCTCAGAATCCGTGGTCCTGCGGAATAGCACCACCCTGGTGATGCATATGAAGGTCTATGACGAGAGCATCCAGCTGGGTGAGGCAGGGGGCCAGGGCCCCGGGCAGGGGGTGGGCTAGAGAGGGGTGAGGGCTGTGGCCATGAGCAGCTGTAGGAATCCCTGGGCAAGGATGTGAATGGGAGTGAACATGGGTCAGACTCCACTCACCACCCAGAGGGTCTCCTCTTTCTCATCATCACAGAGGTACCATATGAGCTTACAGCCACCCTGGTCACAAGAGCCAGGGCCTGGGAGGACAAAAGACCTGAGTGTGGGTTGGGTGGTGACCCCCACAAGGTCCAGAGTGAAGGCGGTGATTATCCTTTCCCTAAGCAGTGCAAGCCCGACACTAAGGTCCTGAGAAGGTCTACCTAACCCTTTCTCTGTGCCTCCTACCCACCCCAGACCATGAGGGCACCAACCCCTGCAGTGTCAACAACGGTGACTGCTCCCAGCTCTGCCTGCCCACATCGGAGTCGACCCGCTCCTGTATGTGCACGGCCGGCTACAGCCTCCGGAGTGGCCAGCAGGCCTGCGAGGGTCAGTGCCCCATCGCCATTCTGCCCCCCACCATGGCCCAAGTCTCCAGCTCTGACCCCTCCTACCCCACAGCCCCACCTTCCTCCTCTCACCTTGAGGACAGGAACTGCATTCATCATGTATTGTGAAGTGTCTTCTGGGTTAGATGCTTAGTAAGCCCCCGTTGTGCAGGGTACTACAGGGAAGGCTAGGGGGCAGAAGTCCCTGTCCCTGTGCTCTGCGGTCTTCATCAGAGATGGGGCTAACGCGTAGGGGAAACTGGACCGTGAAGTGGCTATCCAGTGTCTGCAGTAGGATTTTAGAGAAATAGATGTCAGCAGGCAGCGCCAGGGCCAGCTTCATGGAAAAGATGTGCTGTGAGCTGGGTTTTATAGGACAAGTAGGATTTAAGTGCATGGATCAAAGGGGAAGGGACAATAAGTTAGGCACTGGGTCCAGAGCAATTCAAGGATATGTGCAGAGGCCCTGAGGCGCCAAGCCTGAGTGGTGGGCAGACTGTGGGGGGTGTCAGAGGTGATGGCTGTGAGGTAGGGCGGGCCTCCTGTGGGTTCTCAGCCAGGAGTGCCTGGAAAGTGGTGTTTGGGGCAGATTAACCTGGCGGCAGAGAGCCGGCTGGGTGGGGGAGGGAGAAACCGAGGCAGTTAGACCAGTTAGGAGGCTATTAGAGTGAGCCCAGTGTTAAGAGATGGGGCTTAGCGGCTGGGTTTAAGAGACGGGATGAGACTCAGAGACATTTCACAAGAACTTGCTGACTGATTTATGAGTTTGCCCCAGGACAGCACTTCCCAAAGTGTGCTCCTGGGAACCTCCCTCTTTGATGTGGGTAGATGTTACAGAAAGAAACACTGGGTTGAACAAAGTTTAAGTGTTTTTTGCTGCAGAACTTCTCAGAGTCTTGAGTATGTTCATCTGCACTGAGGATTTTTCAAGAGGAGACTAATGTTTGGGGTTTCCCCAAACTCCCTTGACTATGAATCCTTTTTTTCAAGGAGCCTGAGAAACCAGAGCCCCCTGGGGGATTCATCTGGGGACACAGTGTATCATGGGGCAGAGGCAGTGGAGGGTTCTGGCTCACGTGGATAGTGGCACCTCAAAAGAAATGGGAAAACAGAATTAAGGCTCAGGAATGAGATGTCAAGGATATTGAGTCTTAGGTGTTTGAGAGTGTGTGGCACAGACCAGACTGGGGAGGACAAAGAGGAAACTAAGGTGGAAGTCTCCATTTAGGAGTCATCTGGTTCCATTGCCTTGTCTGAAACTCCCCAGGTTCTTCCTAACAGCTTTTGGGGGTGCTGGGTTGTATGGAGTGAAGTTGAACTGCAGGGCCCCTTTTGGGGAGAGAAGTCCAGGTCTCTTCTGCCCTCTAGTGGGGGATAGTAGTCTTGCAGGTGGTTCCCCAGAGCTGCTCTCCTTTCCCACCCCCACCCCCCACCAGCCAGGTGACCTCCCAGCCTAGCTGCAGGCCTCAGGCTCAGGTGTGTTTATCTGTGTGTTGAAGGGGGAGGCATGATGTCTGGAAGAAGATACTCAGAGTGACAGAGCCCAAGTTTAAAGAGGGTGTCAGCAAGACCCAGGCCTGAAGTATCCTTGTGTTTCAGGTGTGGGCTCCTTTCTCCTGTACTCTGTGCACGAGGGAATCCGGGGAATCCCCTTGGATCCCAATGATAAGTCAGATGCCCTGGTCCCAGTGTCTGGGACCTCCCTGGCTGTCGGCATTGATTTCCATGCTGGTGAGTGATTTGGTGGCGGGAGAGAGTGGGACGTTACTTTGAGGGTAGTGTGCTCTGGGAGCCCAGTGAGAGGCAGCCTGACTACAGCTGGAGGGGGAGATACCACAGCTCCCCCTACCCTGCTTAGTTTCCCTTCCAACCCCTGTGCCACTGCCTCCCCCACCCCCAGCACTCACCTCTATTTTGACTGCCATTTGATTCTGACCCTCCACCTTTCCCCTGCCTTGCTGGGCATCCCAACATTGGCTCCTCTATCTCCAGAAAATGACACCATTTACTGGGTGGACATGGGCCTAAGTACCATTAGCCGGGCTAAGCGAGACCAGACATGGCGCGAGGATGTGGTGACCAATGGCATTGGCCGCGTGGAGGGCATTGCAGTGGACTGGATCGCAGGTGAGCCATGAGAGGGCCTTGGGCAGGCTGTGGGCCTCCAGGTAGGGTGGAGGCCTGGAGGAGAGAAGCGGGATCTCAGGAGTCTGAGGAGAAGGACTAGGCAGGAACGGATGGGGGAGCAGCAGGGATCTAGGGGCTAGAAGGGGACCAGGTGCATGTGTTCCCACCCAACCCCCTAATCCCCACTCACTCCCTCCTCAGGCAACATCTACTGGACAGACCAAGGCTTTGATGTCATCGAGGTCGCCAGGCTCAATGGCTCTTTCCGCTACGTGGTCATCTCCCAGGGTCTGGATAAGCCCCGAGCCATCACTGTCCACCCAGAGAAGGGGTGAGAAGCTGGACAGGCTGTCCAGTTCCCAGCCCTGGCTTGGTTCTGGCTTGGTCATTCTCCACAGCCCACACTTATGAGACCTTCCATGGTCTGGGGACTGACACCCCACTTCTGCCTCCTCCACCCCACAGGTATCTGTTCTGGACTGAGTGGGGCCAGTATCCACGTATCGAGCGGTCTCGGCTAGATGGTACTGAGCGAGTTGTGTTGGTTAATGTCAGCATCAGCTGGCCCAATGGCATCTCAGTGGACTATCAGGTTTGAATGCAGGCTTGGCCCTGGAGCCCTCGGGATATCTGGACCCCATGCTGTGGGGGGAGGCTCCCCTTACCCTATATTCTGCTTCCCATAGACTCTCCCTGTGGTGAACCCCCCATTCGGTGGGGAGATATGGACCCAGGATAGGTCTTGCGGTGTTCTGGCCCAGCTCCCAACCCAGAGTAGGACTCCTACCGCCCTAGAGGTGGGGGGGAGGGTGTGCTGTCACTCAGAAGTGAGGACTGAAGGCATGTCTAGAAGGGTCGGCATATTAGCAGGTCAGAGGGCAGGGAGGATATGGAGAAAGGAGGAGAAAGATACGAGAGGCAGGGGTGAGTGGGACATGCCCTGCTGCCCAGGACACTGGGGCTGGTGTGGAGTGCCGGGCACTGGAGGTGAGGTGCACGCCTCTGGCCTATAGGATGGAAAGCTATACTGGTGCGATGCCCGGACAGACAAGATCGAGCGGATCGACCTGGAGACGGGCGAGAACCGTGAGGTGGTTCTGTCCAGCAACAATATGGACATGTTCTCAGTGTCTGTGTTTGAGGATTTCATCTACTGGAGTGACAGGTGAGGCGTTCTGCCCCGGTCTTCTCGCTGGCCATCCTTTCCCTCCCTCCTGACCTCTGTCGATGCCCCACTCACGGCCTGGCCTTCCCTTCCCCTAGGACTCACGCCAATGGCTCCATCAAGCGTGGGAGTAAAGACAATGCCACAGACTCGGTGCCCCTGAGAACAGGCATCGGCGTCCAGCTCAAAGACATCAAAGTCTTCAACCGGGACCGGCAGAAAGGTGAGGCTGGGGCTCTGGGCCAGGCAGGAGAGGCACACAGGGTGATTTCTCAGACTGAGAGGGGCCGGGAGAGACGCTGAACCCACAGGGACACTTTCCAGCGGCTCCAGAGACCTGAGGGGGGTGAAAAGGGGCTGAGGAGCTCAAGGATGGGTTTGGGTGCCAAGTTGCTGAGGCAGAGCAGTGCACCAACCAGAGCGTCCACCTTGGCTGAGAGTCCAGAGGCACCGGTGAGCCTTTTCCCAAGGTGGGCCCTACCCTCCATAACCATCTCCTTCCCATGCCCTCCCCCCAGGTACCAACGTGTGTGCAGTGGCTAATGGCGGGTGCCAGCAGCTGTGCCTGTACCGGGGCGGGGGGCAGCGGGCGTGTGCCTGCGCCCACGGGATGCTGGCTGAAGACGGGGCGTCGTGCCGGGAGTACGCGGGCTACCTGCTTTACTCAGAGCGCACCATCCTCAAGAGCATCCACCTGTCTGATGAGCGCAACCTCAATGCACCCGTGCAACCCTTTGAGGATCCTGAGCACATGAAGAATGTCATCGCTCTGGCCTTTGACTACCGAGCAGGCACCTCCCCGGGCACCCCCAATCGCATCTTCTTCAGCGACATCCACTTTGGGAACATCCAACGGATCAATGACGATGGCTCGGGGAGGATCACCATTGTGGAGAGTGAGACCAGACCCGGATCTGCCCAGGAAGGGGGGGGGGGGGGTAGGGGGCTGTGCAGAGGACCAGCACCGACTCAGGGTAGAAAAGCCCTCAGACATCAGCCAGTCTGCTCCGCCCCAGATCTGAATCCCAGCTGTGACTGTGTCCCTGACAAGTAGCCAGCAAATCACACTGCACCCATTATACTTACTTGAAAGTTTCTCCTCATTTGGAGTCACACTTGGCCCCCCTCTCGCTTCCTCCTCTGATCCTAGTTTGCCCCCAGGCTGCACAGAATAAGCCAAAACCCTCCTTTGTGTGTCCAGTGCTCACAGCACAGGCTGCAGAGACAGGCTGGGTTCAACCCAAGACACAGGATTTCAGGCACTTGTCCTGTGCTGTCCAAGAGTTCTCATCTGCATAGTGAGACAGGATCACCTGAACCGCAGGTATGAATGCTTAGCTCAGCCCAGGCGTCATGTGCACCCCACAGAGACCAGTGGGTGCTAGAGCCGTCACCCCAGGACAGCCCTTCAGCTCTGTGAAAAGTGCTGTTTTGTTCCACTTACAGTTTTCTTTTCTCCAGGCTGGATACCGGCGGGGGCCGGGGCGCCCGGTGCTTTGACTCGTTTGTTCAGTTATTCATTCATTCTGGCCACGGAGACCTGCCAGACACTATTCTAGTGGCTGGTATACAGCGATGATAAACATAGATCCGTTCTTTGACCCTCCTCTGGACATTTCCTGCTCCACACAGTCCAGTCCCCATGCCTGTCTAAAAATGTGGCCAAAGCTAAACTAGATACCCTGTGATTGTAACTTGATCAGGAGAGACTGGCAAGAACTGTCCCCTCCCTTCAGGCCATTGTTTAAGCTACAGTACTTCTATTAATGCAGCCTCTGGCAACCAAAGCGACCTACAGCTAGAGGCCGCTAAAATCCCCTTAGGCTATGGTTCCACTACCCATTGTGCACTTAATTCTTTAACCTGAGTTTAGGATGTCTATGAGAATCAATCCAGTTCTGACCTTGTTAAGCAGGAAGCTCCCACCCGGTACAGCCCAAGTCAGATGTGATTTACTAAAATCCATAAAGCCAATTCTACCCAGCTGTGGGGAGAAGCAGGAAGAAGGGTCAGGGAGATGGGCCATGGATCATTTGGGTAGAAAATAGGGAAGGACAGGAGGGCTGGGGTGCCAAGGGCTGTGCCTCCGTATGCTCCTCAGCTCCCACACATCCCCTTCCAGCCCCCCATATGCCAGAGGAACGGGTGCTCCAGGCCTTCCCCCTGAGTTCATGCCCCGGTTGCCCCTTCGGCTCTGCTCTCTGGCTCCATCCCGACCTATGACTACTCCTGTCTCCTTGCAGATGTGGGCTCTGTGGAGGGCCTGGCCTATCACCGTGGCTGGGACACTCTCTACTGGACAAGCTACACAACATCCACCATCACCCGCCACACAGTAGACCAGACCCGCCCAGGGGCCTTTGAGCGCGAGACGGTCATTACTATGTCTGGAGACGACCACCCACGAGCCTTTGTGCTGGACGAGTGTCAGAAGTGAGCTGCTGGGTGTAGGGAGTGGGTGGCAGAAACCACTCCGGGCAGCCCCGGGTGGGGGGTGAAGCAGCAGGAGAGGCTGGCTTTCACCTGAGATCAGCCACTTCCTTGCTGTGACCTTAGACCAGCTGTCCGAACTGTCTGAGCTTTAGTTTCCTCATCTGTAATAGGACAATAATATTTCAGGTGCCTGAACCAAGGGGAGGATCAGGGTGGGGGGGGTTGTGAAGGACAATTCTTGCTCAGTGATTAGTCGATTCATTCATCAGAAAGCCATGTTCAGGGCACATAGTAGGTCCTCTGTGTTTCTGAGACTCCAAGCTTCAGGCCAAGACTGTTCACTAAACGGTTGTTGCCTGGAAGCTTTGACCTAGCTGAGGAGAGAAATCATAGTGCTGGGAAGCATGGAGACCGGTGATGACCAAGAGGCCCCACAGAGGCGGCAGGTTGGCACAGGACCTAGAAGTGGAAAGGCCAGGGAAGGACAGCCCAGACACAGGGCAGTGCTTTGAGCAAGAGCCAAAGGAAGGAGTGCTATAGGCGGGGAAGGACTATGAGGAGCCTCCCCCATGCCCGATCAAAGGGCTCTTGTGAGCAGGAGCAGGCCTGGGGAGGAACCTGGAAGCGAGGCTCAGGTTGCAAGGGAGTCCAGAGCATGAGTCAGGAGAACCTGGGAGGAAATACCCGGAGGTGGTGCTTGCCCCTGGTCTCCACCTGCCCTGTTCTCCTGTAGGGGCAGCCCCCACTCCCACTGTGTGGGCCTCTAGTGAACCACCTCCTCCCCTTAGAAATCCTGGCCCACACGTAAGCAAAACTGTTTTCCCCAGAATTCAGCAGCACTTGGAATGTTTTCCCAAAGCTTTGCTAGGAAACTAAGGGACAAACAAAACCCAAAAGCAGCTACTTAGAAATGGTGAGTGCACCGACTAAACCTAGATTCCTTAGCCTGATATCACTCGAGGCCAGCCCCAGCCCAGCCTGCCTGGCCCCGCAGACCAGCACAAGGGTCCTCTGTCCCTGGCCTGCCTCACCCTGGCCTGCATGTACCTGGCTCATGACAAAGATCCTATCTGCCCTCTGCGACCCTTGGCAACTTTACCTGTCTTGGGCTGGCCTCAGGGCCTGTCCCTTATGGGCCTGGAACCTCCGTGGAAGGGTGATGCTCCTGGGCACCCCTGCCTGCCTCCCACCCCCAATCCAGAGATGGTGGAGCTTTGTGACTTCAGAAGCTCCTTCATGGCTGCCCACCAAATTCCTTTGCTCTGAGCCTAGGCTCAGCAAATGGCTTTTGGGAACCAACGATGTGCTGAGGATCAAGGGGAGGGTGAGATGGACATTGGCTCTGCCCCAGGCATATTTGATGCTAGCCATGAGGCTGTAGGGAGCTTTAGGAGTGTGTAAGAAGGACCTGACCTGGGCCGGATATCAAGGAACGTGTCCTCAAGGACTCCCAGCTGAGCTGAGGTCTGGAGGATGACAGGGGTGAAGTAAATCCAGGGCAGGGTGCAGGAGAAAGAGCTGAACTGTCTGGGAGAGGCCCTGTCCTGGCCAGAAGGAGCGAGTGCCTTGGAGGAATTGGGGGGGCCAGTGTGATGAAAGGGGCAGGGACCTCCTGCTGAGCCTCCCCTACAGCTGGCCCCAGTTCCCAGGTTGCTCCCAGTTCTGGCTGCTGACAGCCTGCCCCTCAGGACAGCCCCTTCTCCCTGCCCTTCCCTGCCAGCCACTTCCTGGGAGTGGTTTTACCAAACCTGAAATCCTCAGTTGTAGGACAGTCATTCTTCCACATATAACAGTTTGTCATGGTAGAAGGAAAGCCACTTCCCACTGCAGAGTGAACTGGGCTCTACCTGAGGACATCGAAGTCCCTGGTTGGGCACCAACAAAGCAGGGAGGATGACTCTAGCAGCTGTCCCTGGCATACCCATTTCTCCTATGGAAGCCAGAGACAGATGCCACCATCCTTGATGGCGTCATGCCACCATCCAAACTCCCATTCTGATTCCAAGAGCCATCCAGAACCCCACCCCTTCCCCCAGGATGGGCGCCTTTAAAATCAGAGACTTATCCTCAAGAGCTCCCAGTGGCTAGGGGATAGCCAGCACCTCCCTAAGTGGAAGCATAGTGGCAGGAGGCCATAGCTCAAATATGCTGGAGAGGCTGTGGAGGGGGTGTTAAGAAGAGACCTGGAGAGGTTTGAGGAGACAGGTCCACCAGCCAGAAGACAGCTCTGTGTCCAGAGCAGCAGAGGGCAGAGGGCATGGAAGCATGCGGTGGGGTGGGGAGGCAGGGGTAGGTCCTATGAGACAGCCAGAGAACAGATGTAGCTAGATGATTCTCAAACTCCAGGGTGTATGAAGCTTGCCTGGGGAGTGCTGGAAAGTGCTGGTTCCCTGGCCCCAGAATATCTGGGACAGAGGACCCAGGAATCAAGATCCAATGCAGGTGGTCTGAAAACCACACTGTCACACCTAGTGTAGTGCCTGACCAGCCCTGAAGTCATCCGCACCCATCTCTGGAGCCTCACCACCCCCAAAAGGAGCACAGGCAAGGCCCGATCTTACCACCTCCTTTACTGAGAGGAGGCCAAGGTGTAGAAACGAGAGGCTGGTTCAAGGTCAGAGCTTGGAAGGAGCAGAGCTGGGATGAATGTCACATGATCAGAACTGAGCCAAGCGTTCTTGAAATTCACTTTGATATACGGGTGCTTTGGATTACAAGCATGTTTCTGGAACAAAATACGTTCGCAAACCAAGGTTTTACTATAATATGAAATACTCATGTGGCATCTACCAGCTGTCACTAGATGAATATTAACTCTTTTAACCCTTAAACCACTCTATGAGGCAGGTAATAGTATTATCCCCACCTCATGGAGGATGAAACTGAGGCACAGAGAAGTTAAGTCACTTGCTGAGGTTCCTAACTTGTACGTCGTGGAGCCAGAATGGGAACCCAGAGCCTGACTTACTTGGCTACACTGTCTCTCAGTAAACACAGATGGCCGTTTCACAGACACTGAGAAGTACGTGTGCACACATACACACGCACCGACTATGCAGCAGCTGGGCCCTTCCTGGGCACCGGGGCTGTGTTGGCCTGGGTGGCTGTGAGGTGGCCTGCTGTGCTGGGATCTGGTTCCCACCCTGGCTGACCCTCAGGTTCTGGTCGACTCCTTGCCCCAGCCTGGGCCCTCCATGGCAGACTCCCTGGCTTTGAGTCCTGATCCCCGTGGCCCTGTCTTCCCCCAGCCTGATGTTCTGGACCAACTGGAACGAGCAGCACCCCAGCATCATGCGGGCGGCCCTGTCGGGGGCCAATGTCCTGACTCTCATCGAGAAGGACATCCGCACCCCCAATGGCCTGGCCATCGACCACCGTGCCGAGAAGCTCTACTTCTCCGACGCCACCCTAGACAAGATCGAGCGCTGCGAGTATGACGGCTCCCACCGCTATGTGAGTCTGTGGGGCAGATGGAACGGGTGGTACTGGGCAGGCTAGGATCAGGGGTCAGGGGACGGCTGGCTAGCCAAAATGGAGATTGCCTGGGCACAGAGCAACAGAAAGGAAAGCCACGTGATGGGAAGATTTGGGAGAAGAATGAGGCACTGACATTGCCGCTTAGCTGTGTGGCCTTGCGCAGCCCTCATCCTGCCCAGGCGTGGCTTCCTCATCAATTAAATGAGGACATGGCAAGATTCCCCTGCAAGTCTTCCCATTCTGCAGCTGTGTCCAGGGATCTCGGCCAAGGCCAGGCACCCCCACCCCTGGGGCCAGCTGCAGGGGGTTGGATTTGGGACAAGAGGCCTGAGCCTACCTGTGACGGGCTTAGTGCTGTCGCCACAGGTGATCCTGAAGTCCGAGCCAGTCCACCCCTTCGGGTTGGCTGTGTACGGGGAGCACATTTTCTGGACCGACTGGGTGCGGCGGGCTGTGCAGCGGGCCAACAAGTACGTGGGCAGTGACATGAAGCTGCTGCGCGTGGACATCCCCCAGCAGCCCATGGGCATCATCGCCGTGGCCAATGACACCAACAGCTGTGAGTGGGGCCACTACCACCAGCCTTGCTCTCCTGCCCCTGGTGCCAGCACACACACACACACACACACACACACACACACTACACCCTGGTCCTGTTCTCCCACAGCCTCCACGTGCAGACATACAAGTGTACACGCTTTCACCCCCAAGAAACCCAAAACACCAACACTCCTCTACTCCAGCTCCCTCAAGACATCTGTGCGTGCGTGCACATGTATGCACCCTCGTAGCACACCACAGTTGGTCTCACCTGAATCTTTGACACCCCAGCACATGCCCTAGCCATTCTTCCCCCCAAGAGCCACACGTGCTCCCAGAGCCTGATCAGACACACGCGCCCCAGGCTCTGCCTACCCCACACTGTGCATGCACGTGCATGTGCACAGAGACGCTCCCACATTGGGCCTGCCTGGCTGAGGGGCCCCATACAGATCCACAGCTTTTCCATGCCTCTCACACACACTCCAAGGCCCACCACTAGGCTCCTTCGACTTGACTCTCCTCAAAGCACATGGCGAAGCCCACGTCACCCCCCGCCCCAAGAGCACACACACCCTCAACCTCAGCCCCAGCCCCAATACTCCCACTGGCCCTGCCTTAGTACCTTTTCTGCTCCTCCAGCCATGTGCCATTGTGCCAGGGCCAGGGCTAGGAAGCTCAGTGAAGCTATGTGAATGGGTGTGGGCATTTTGTGTGTGCACAGCTGGGGAAACTCTTAGCCCGCTGTCCTCTGTCCTTGTTTCAGGTGAGCTCTCCCCTTGCCGCGTCAACAACGGGGGCTGCCAAGACCTATGTCTGCTCACTCACCAAGGCCATGTCAACTGCTCCTGCCGAGGGGGCCGCATCCTCCAAGAGGACCTCACCTGCCGGGGTGAGAGAGGGAATGACAGAGGACAGACACTGGTGGGGGGACCCTGGGCACACAGTGGGGACCATCTCCTCCTAGACTCCAGTAGCCCACCCTCGTGAAAACTTTTATCTAGGAGAAACTGAGGATGACCTCAGTTCTGGGGGACAGGGGGTAGAGACATTCGAGGCCGCAGGACCCTGGCTTACGAAGCTCCCTCCACATCACCCCCACAGCTGTGAACTCCTCTTGCCGAGCACAAGATGAGTTCGAGTGTGCCAACGGCGAGTGCATCAACTTCAGCCTGACCTGTGACGGTGTCTCCCACTGCAAGGACAAGTCTGATGAGAAGCCATCCTACTGTAGTAAGGCACCTCCTCCAGCCTCTGTGCCCCAACCCTCCTCCCTTACCCCTGGCCTCCAGAGTCGACCACCTCAGCCCCCAGCGGGGCAGGGTGTGGGAGTGAGGGGAGCAAAGCTCCGTGACCCACTCCACAGCTGTCCTAAAGGGCAGAACCACCGCTAGCCCTGTGCCAGCCCCTGAGCAGTTTGTCAAGGGAACAAATGCATGACATCTCATCAGAGGCAGCGCCTCCCCTGTCGCTGCCGCTGACTGCTGGCCCGCTCCCCGTCTGTCCGCAGACTCACGCCGCTGCAAGAAGACTTTCCGACAGTGTAACAACGGGCGCTGCGTGTCCAACATGCTGTGGTGCAACGGGGCGGACGACTGTGGGGACGGCTCGGATGAGATTCCCTGCAACAGTGAGTGGGACCCGGGACCTGGCCCTCAGACCCCCACCTCTGCCACGCCCTGCCCTTGCTGAGCTTTGGTTCCCAGGCCCCACGGGGTCTGCTTCAGCGTGCTCCACGGTGGGCCTGGGCAGGTGCTTTGGGCCAGGAGCTCTGGCCTGGGGTCTCTTGCCCCCAACGTGGAAAACTGCGGCCTGATGGTCTGGGGGTGGGTGCTGTTCTAGAGACGGCCTGCGGAGTGGGAGAATTCCGCTGCCGGGACGGCACCTGCATTGGGAACTCCAGCCGCTGCAACCAGTTTGTGGACTGTGAGGATGCCTCCGATGAGATGAACTGCAGTGAGTGACACCCCTGCCTGGGTGCCTCGTAGTCTCTCTCCCGTCTCGCTCCCTTGCCTCCTGCCTGGGGCTCCTCCCTGCCATCCCTTTGGCCCACGTGGCGGCCTCTGTCACCCTCACAGCCTGTGTGGCCCCTGCCCTAGGCCTGGGCTCCCTGGGGTGAGTGGAAGGGGTGGACAGCACCCCCTCCCCCAAAGGACACCGTGCGACTTTCTAAAACACCAAGGCCACTGTCAGGCCAGCAGCTGCCCCGGGAGGGAGTGTGGAGGGAACCTCGGTTCACCCCTCATCCCTGCCCCCACCAGGCGCCACTGACTGTAGCAGCTACTTCCGCCTGGGGGTGAAAGGAGTGCGCTTCCAGCCCTGTGAGCGGACCTCCCTCTGCTATGCACCCAGCTGGGTGTGTGACGGTGCCAATGACTGTGGGGACTACAGCGACGAGCGCGACTGCCCAGGTCTACACCAGCCTTGGGTCAGATGCACGGCAGGCGGCGGCCCCCCCAGGGTGGCAGCGCCCTCATGCTTCCCTCTCCCCCTAGGAGTGAAGCGACCCAGATGCCCCTTGAATTACTTTGCCTGCCCCAGTGGGCGCTGCATCCCCATGAGCTGGACGTGTGACAAGGAAGACGACTGTGAGCACGGCGAGGATGAGACCCACTGCAGTAAGTGACCACAGGGCCCACCCACCCGAGCTGGGAGCCCAGAGAACCCACGGCGGGCAGGGGCTTCACCAGAGTTACTGAGTCACTGTCCACACCTCACCTTTTAGTTCCCTCCCAGGAAATGTCCTCCTAGGAGAAGGGCACCCAGGGCCTTAACCCCAGGTCCCACCCCCAGGGGGGAGGGGGCATCTCTCTAGCTCATGCTGACCCCACAGAGGGATGCCTTGGCATGCACCCTACACCTGCCTGCCCAGCTCAATGCTGTGCCATCCCCTCCCCCCATCTCACTTTGGCTTCCAACTGCCCCAGACAAGTTCTGCTCGGAGGCCCAGTTTGAGTGCCAGAACCATCGGTGCATCTCCAAGCAGTGGCTATGTGATGGCAGTGATGACTGTGGAGATGGCTCAGATGAGGCGGCTCACTGTGGTGAGAGGTGGCTGGGATCGGGTCGGGGAGGTGCTCCCGGGAGGGACAGAGCCCCCCCATGCCACCTGCACGTGCACATGCCCTACTACAGGAGGGATGGACGGCACAGTGGTGGGAATGTCACCCCCGCTGCCCGGCCAGCTGTGCCTGCTCCCAGCGGCTCCCTGTTCCCCCCACAGAAGGCAAGACGTGCGGCCCCTCCTCCTTCTCCTGCCCGGGCACCCATGTGTGTGTCCCCGAGCGCTGGCTCTGTGATGGTGACAAGGACTGTGCTGATGGTGCCGACGAGAGCATCGCGGCTGGCTGCTGTGAGTGGCAGGGGCCATGAGGAGTGGGGCGGGCAGCAAGCAGCTACAGTCTCTCTTTGCAGTAGGGAAAACTGAAATCAAGGAGAGGAAGTGCTTCAGCAGGGGTCCCTCGGGCAGTCAGTGGCAGAGCCCTGTCTACAACCCACATGGGTGTCTGGACCCTCCATCCAGTGCTCTCTGTCCACTCTGCCACTCAGACCCCACCAAGGTCCCGTGTGACAGTCATCAGCTAGTCGGGGGGAGCTGAGGGGCCATGTCTGTCTCTGTCCGTAGTGTACAACAGCACCTGTGATGACCGCGAGTTCATGTGCCAAAATCGCCAGTGCATCCCTAAGCATTTCGTGTGTGACCATGACCGTGACTGTGCCGATGGCTCCGACGAGTCCCCTGAGTGTGGTGAGCCTGGGGCCTCCCAGGGGGTGGCACCAGGGGTGCGCCCTGCCCTCCCTACGCCCAAGCTCCCAAACTCACCCGGCCCCTCCTCCCCCAGAGTACCCAACGTGCGGCCCCAACGAGTTCCGCTGTGCCAATGGGCGCTGTCTGAGCTCCCGCCAGTGGGAGTGCGATGGGGAAAATGACTGCCACGACCAGAGCGACGAGGCCCCCAAGAACCCGCACTGCACCAGCCCAGGTGGGCCCGATGCACGGCCCCCTCCCCACCCTCCATCCCTGGCCCAATGGCCCCCTGACCTGCCCCCCCACCCCCTGCAGAGCACAAGTGCAACGCCTCCTCGCAGTTCCTGTGCAGCAGCGGGCGCTGTGTGGCCGAGGCGCTGCTCTGCAACGGCCAGGATGACTGTGGTGACGGCTCGGATGAGCGTGGCTGCCATGTCAACGAGTGTCTCAGCCGCAAGCTCAGTGGCTGCAGCCAGGACTGCGAGGACCTCAAGATTGGCTTCAAGGTGTGCCCCACCCCGGAGTGGGAGCTTCCACTCACCCAAGGCTGGCGGGAGCTCCTTTCTCCACCCCTTGTCCTTTCATTTGTTCGTTCATTCAACAAGGGCTCATTCAGCACCTACTCTGCCAGGTAGTGCTCTGGGCACTTGGGGACACAGCAGAGGAATCAAAACCTTTACTTGGTTGGGTTCTGCATCCCCTTGGAAAGTAGGGCCAGCAAGGGCTACGGGAGAAGGAGGGGTGTGCAGATGTCAGGCAGGCGCCGAAGTCCAGGCGTGCAGGTCAAGGGAGAGGCCAGACAGGAGCCCAGAATCTGGGAGTTATGAGTCTGGATAGGCTCCTCAATGGAGCGCGTGTAGATGGCCTGTGCTCAGCCACACCAGTGGCAGGGAGGTGATGGGGGACTGGCAGAGGAGCCTGAGAAGGGGCAGCTGCTGGCGTGGGAGAAGAGCCGTGTGAGGAAAACCTTGGAGGAGGCGCACCACCAGCTCTGTCAGATAATGCTCACAGGTCACATAAGATGAGGCCTGAGCATCGACCTCTGGGGAGAGAAACCGGGTGGTCATCGGTCACTACAGTGGTTTAGCTGAAGTGAGAGCCAGATGGCTCAGTATCTGTTTGCTGCCTGCCTCCTGCCCCTCAAGGCTGGGCTTCCCCAGCGGAGCCAGCCAGCCCCCAGGGGTGGAGGGAACCAGACCTCCAGGCTCCAGGGTGGGAGGCTCCGACCACAGCCCCTTCCCCAGCCCAAGGCTCCCTGTGCCTGCAGTGCCGCTGCCGCCCCGGCTTCCGCCTGAAGGATGACGGCCGGACGTGTGCCGATGTGGATGAGTGCAGCTCGACCTTCCCCTGTAGCCAGCGCTGCATCAACACGCACGGCAGCTACAAGTGTCTGTGTGTAGAGGGCTACGCCCCCCGAGGCGGCGACCCCCACAGCTGCAAAGCGGTGACTGGTGAGACGGGCACGTGGAGGGGGTCAGATGGCTCAGGCAGCTGGGGACCGGGGGTGCCAGAACATGCCCCAGCTGGCAGCTGAACCAGGACGCTCTGTCTCCAGATGAGGAGCCATTCCTGATCTTTGCCAACCGGTACTACCTGCGCAAGCTCAACCTGGACGGCTCCAACTACACGCTGTTGAAGCAGGTGCCAGAGCCGGCCCTCCTCACCCCCACACCTGTCCCCAGGCCCGGAGCTATCTTCCCTTCCCCGCCCAGCCCCCTCATCCTCCCCACTTGGGCCCATGTTCGTCACCTCCTACTCACTCCTCCAGCCACCGGTGTCCTGACTCTGTAGTCATCCCCCACCCCCCACATCCAGGGCCTGAACAATGCCGTCGCCTTGGACTTTGACTACCGAGAGCAGATGATTTACTGGACAGACGTGACAACCCAGGGCAGCATGATCCGAAGGATGCACCTTAACGGAAGCAATGTGCAGGTGAGGCCAGGGGCAGCCCACTCCTCAGCAGACAAACTAGGCGTCGGGGGCCAGAGATCCAGCCGCAGGGTCCCTCCCCAGAGGGCTCGCTGTGTTTCAAGGCCATCTCCCCTTCACCCATGGCATCCCACTGAATTATTTCCTCCTCTTCCTTCCCCACGAAGTCACTGCCTAACTCTGCTTGTCCTGGCTTCTTCCTCTCCTCCAAGCTCAGAGAGTGAGGTCTAGGAGATTCCTCCTGCTTTTCCCTCATTATCAGTAGCTTCCCCCTTATGGCTGCCCTCTCTTAAATTCACGCCCCTAGGCACTTTGGGGTTTGGGGTGCAGTAGCTCTCCTCTGGAGACCCCTCTCCTATAGCCTCAGCTGACACTAGGCCTGGGCCTGGGCATTTTCCATCCATTGTCCTCCCTGCAAGCTGGGGGAGGAAGCTGTACTTCACACTTGGGGGTTGCTGGGCCCCCAGAGAGACTGAGGGTCGTACCCCTGGCCTTCTTCTTTCCCTGCCTCTGCCCACAGGTGCTGCACCGGACAGGCCTCAGCAACCCTGACGGGCTGGCTGTGGACTGGGTGGGTGGCAACCTGTACTGGTGCGACAAAGGTCGGGACACCATCGAAGTGTCAAAGCTCAACGGGGCCTACCGGACGGTGCTGGTTAGCTCTGGCCTCCGTGAGCCCAGAGCTCTGGTGGTGGACGTGCAGAATGGGTACGAGGGCAAGGAGGGTTGGGGGAGCCCTTGAAGCAAGCAGTATGCTCAGGCATCCAGGCCCAGCCTCCCTGCAGGCTCTTGGTGGGACCAGTTGCTGGATCTCTTGGGGCTCACTGCCCACCCACCTGCCAGGTACCTGTACTGGACAGACTGGGGTGACCACTCACTGATCGGCCGGATAGGCATGGATGGGTCTGGCCGTAGTGTCATCGTGGACACCAAGATCACGTGGCCCAACGGCCTGACACTGGACTACGTCACCGAGCGCATCTACTGGGCTGATGCCCGTGAGGACTACATCGAGTTTGCCAGCCTGGATGGCTCTAATCGCCACGTCGGTCAGTGTGCCAGTGAGGCTGCCTGGGCACAGCAGCTCTGGGGGTCGGGGGTGGGGTCTGGAGCTACAGAGGATCAGGCCTTTGGGGCAAGAATAAGGTTAAAAGTCAGACAGCATGGTCTGAGAATGGGGATCTCCCCAGGGGAATGGGGATCCAGAGCACCCCGATGTACGCCCCCCTGGACAAGCCCAGGCATGAGGCCACCATCTGAAGGAGAAAGAGAAGTTACTTCTCATGCACAGTTCGGGGCCCCGAGAAAGACAGGAGTAGGATGCCTGGGGTTGGGATGCTTCGGCACAGGGCATCCTCTAATATTACAGAGCAGGAACCTGCTGTCAGAAAGGCCTGAGTTTGAGTTCCAGCTTTGCCACTTAGCTGTGCGACCTTGGGAAGCCACTTAACCATCTGGAACGGGGGCTGGCGCCCACCTCACAGGGTTATTGTAGGGTTAAGGATGTCCGGTAGGGAAGGCGCTAACCGGCTGCTGGGCCCATTCCCTCCCCGTCTGCAGTGCTGAGCCAGGACATCCCACACATCTTCGCACTGACCCTGTTTGAGGACTACGTGTACTGGACCGACTGGGAGACAAAGTCCATCAACCGAGCCCACAAGACCACGGGCACCAACAAGACACTCCTCATCAGTACCCTGCACCGGCCCATGGACTTGCATGTCTTCCACGCCCTGCGCCAGCCAGATGGTGAGCAGTCAAGGGGTGGGAGCCAGCAAAGAGTGAGCCTGGCATGGGGGGCCCCCGGGGAAGGATATGGCCCAGCAGGATTGGTTCTTCTCTAGCACTGCCTGAGCAGTGCTTGCCAGACACTGGGAAATTAGGGAGGCTATCGACAGGCTCTCAGGAGCTACAGCCCAGCCTGGGTCCATCCCAGGAGTCTTGTAGCAGCAAGCCCCTGAGGCCAGTCCAGGTGCGGACCGCCCAGGCAGGACCCCAAAGGCAGGCGGGACGTACCCGAGGGAGGGCACAGGTGAGGCAGCATATGAGGCTGCAGGGCTGGCCTGATCCTGGGACCTCAAGAAGAGTCGTCTCCCTTCTCTGGCTTCAGCTCCTTCCTAAAGGAGTAGGATTTGGATCTGTCCTGCCTCTGCCCAGAATAGAGTGGGCTAGGCAGCCTTCAGAAGACCAGAAAATGTGGCATCAGTGAGTGCCGCCCTCATTCTGCCAGAGGGCAGTGGCTCAGGGGGCCCTGACCCATATACTGGGTCCAGTCGGCTGCCCGTTAGCCACTTTCTCTCTGGCAGTGCCCAATCATCCGTGCAAGGTCAACAATGGCGGCTGCAGCAACCTGTGCCTACTGTCCCCCGGTGGGGGCCACAAATGTGCCTGTCCTACCAACTTCTACCTGGGCAGCGATGGGCGCACCTGTGTGTCCAACTGCACAGCAAGTCAGGTGAGGCTCTTCCCCTTGACCCCCATTCACCAATGCCTCGTTCCCCCAACCTCCACTCCTCCTCGGACCCCAACACCCGCTCTAATGTCCTCACGCATCTGGTTTTCCCACGCTAACACCCCCACATTTCTTGCCTACCTCTTGTCTCCCCACAGCAATATTTTTATACCTGTCACCTCACACAAACACCCCCACACCCTAACCCTGACCTTCCCTTACCAGCACCCCCCACCCTGGCCCCCACACAGATACCCCATCACCTGGCCTTCCCGCACTCCTCATACCCCAACCTTCCATCCAGCTCAGCACCTCCACAAATTACCCTGGTCCTCCCGCTTCTTTGAAACATCACAGCCCCCCAAAAGAAAGTCTCCTGAGTTTCCCCAGACCCCCACCAACCCCTCTTGCCCCCACCTGCCCTCCAGTTTGTGTGCAAGAACGACAAGTGCATCCCCTTCTGGTGGAAATGTGACACAGAGGACGACTGTGGGGACCACTCAGACGAGCCCCCGGACTGTCGTAAGTGCCCAGAGCAGGGGTGGCAAGAGGGTCCTGCACCGGGGGCAGCCTGACTCTGCAGGCTCTGAGTGGCCATGCCCAGCCCCAGCCTTTCTGACTCTGCGGCTCCCCTCCTGGCAGCCGAATTCAAGTGCCGCCCAGGACAGTTCCAGTGCTCAACAGGCATCTGCACGAACCCTGCCTTCATCTGTGACGGGGACAACGACTGCCAGGACAACAGTGACGAGGCCAACTGCGGTAAAGGACTGCCCAGCCACTGTCTGCCCTCCTCCCTCCCCCCTTCTCCTTCCCCGGAACTTGGAGGTTTCCTACTAAACTCCAAGGACAAGGAAGCTCAGCCCACAGCAGCCTCCTCTCCAGGCTGGACTCCTGCTGCTTTAGGCCCTGAACCTGCATGCTCCCACTGAGGGGATGAGGTGCCCCCTCGCTGCTCCTGAATCCTCTACCCCCCATTAGTTACCTCACCTTCCTCCCTACCTCCCACAGATATCCACGTCTGCTTGCCCAGTCAGTTCAAGTGCACCAACACCAACCGTTGCATCCCCGGCATCTTCCGTTGCAATGGGCAGGACAACTGTGGAGACGGGGAGGATGAGAGGGACTGCCGTGAGTGCCCGGGGCTGTGGGCAGGGAGCGGGGTGGCAGGGAAACAGACACAGAAACACACTGCACACTGAAGTCTACCCACCGCTTCTCTGGGCCATGTGGCTGTCAAGTAATGTTATTAGATGGGTGACATAAATTATACAGGGTGTGACTTGGTTTGCTGGGAAAAGGTGCAGATTCAGAAAACAAAAAGCACCAAAATTGGAGGTAAACTGTCCGTTTCTCCTAAGAAATTTCCGGTGGGACCAGGGCCAGGGCTTGGAAGAGGGAGAAGACGGTGATCTCAAACTGTGGTGGGGGAAAAATGGGCAGGTCCTCATTCTCTCCCCCTACCCTGCAGCCGAAGTGACCTGTGCCCCCAACCAGTTCCAGTGCTCCATCACCAAGCGCTGCATCCCCCGAGTCTGGGTCTGTGACCGGGACAACGACTGCGTGGATGGCAGCGATGAGCCTGCCAACTGCAGTGAGTTGCCTGGTGCCCCCAGAGCCCACCTTCCCTCCACTGTGTCTGCTGTTCCCACCTCGTCCCCACCCCGGGTGACCAGCGGCCACTGCCTTGCCCTCCCGGCGCACTCCTGCAAGGATCCTCCCCCTCACCACCAGCCGCCCCCTTGCAGCCCAGATGACCTGTGGAGTGGATGAGTTCCGCTGCAAGGACTCCGGCCGCTGTATCCCCGCTCGCTGGAAGTGTGATGGAGAGGACGACTGTGGGGACGGCTCCGACGAGCCCAAGGAGGAGTGTGGTGAGCTTCCCCAGACCCCGCTCTCAGGGGAAGGCAGCCGGCCTGGACAGGACTCAGGCCACCTGCTGACTGGGGCTCAAGCTGCCTGGCACTCGGCTTCCCGTGCCCACCACCCCCTGCCTGATTCCCCGTCCCTGCCTCCACCGGCACTTCCTCAGCACATACCCGCGCAGAATCTTCTCTGCCTGCCTAACAGAGGGGACTCCGTTAATCCCCTCCCCCAAGCAGCTCCTCCCACTCGTGTGCCGCAAGGCCCCATAACCTCCTCGAATCTCAGAACACTGCTTGGCCTCCCTCCGCTGATCTTTCTCCCACTCCTGGCCATCCTGCCCATGCCTGTCTGAAACCCTCGGGCCTGTCCCCGCTCTGTCCCTGACTGCCCCGATGTTTGCCTCCCAATCTTGCCTCCCCAGACGAGCGCACCTGTGAGCCCTACCAGTTCCGCTGCAAGAACAACCGTTGCGTGCCAGGGCGCTGGCAGTGCGATTATGACAACGACTGTGGGGATAACTCAGACGAGGAGAGCTGCAGTATGTCCCCCCACCCCCTGCCCCGCCCCACCCCCACAGACCTGGGGCTCCTCCCTTCTCAGCACCCCTGTCCCCACCAGGCTGGCCGGTGCAGGTGGCTGCCTCCCAGGGCTGGGGGTCAGGTGCCCCCTCCCTGTTCACCCCACCCCACCCCACTCCATGTCGTGTATTTGAGTTTGTGCCATTTCACCTCATCTCATGTTTCTCTCCATTTTCACACTGTCCTCTTGGGGTTGCAGAGGTAGGTGTCTCTGATGTGCCCCTGCTCCCACCACACCCCCTGCCACTGCCCCAGAGCCCACCCGTCCGTCCCCGTGCTATGCCTCAGCCCATCATCCTTTACTGGCCTCTCCCTAAACCCTGGTGCTTGTCTTAGTGGTCTTGTCCCTTTCCTCTTCCCCTCGACCCCCCACACACAGTCTGTCCCAAGGGCAGAGCCAGGGACCCATGCCCTCTCTCGTGTGTCTGCCCCAGAGGGGTAAGTGTGAGCTCCCTCTGTACCCAGCTGATCCCATGAGGGCAGCCAGTTGGCTGGTGTGGTCATTATGCCAGTCAACTGTGGCTTTCAGGGACACAAGGACGGGTGGTATTGTTCTGCCAAGGGCTGGAGATACTCCAAGGGCTGAGTCCCTGTGCCCACCCTCCTGGGGCGTGTTTCTCCCCTGTCCTTCTCCAGCCCCTCGGCCCTGCTCTGAGAGCGAGTTCTCCTGTGCCAATGGCCGCTGCATTGCTGGGCGCTGGAAATGCGATGGGGACCATGACTGTGCAGATGGCTCAGACGAGGTGTGTAGGGAGAGGAGAAGGAGGGAGGGATGGCCTCAGAAGAATCAGGACAGAGCTACAGGGGTGCCCCGATCTGACCAGGATGCTTGCTCCTGTGCCCGCAGAAAGACTGCACCCCCCGCTGTGACATGGACCAGTTCCAGTGCAAGAGTGGTCACTGCATCCCTCTGCGCTGGCGCTGTGATGCGGATGCCGACTGCATGGACGGCAGTGATGAGGAAGCCTGTGGCACTGGCGGTGAGGCCCTGCCACCACCCCCCACCCCACCATGTGGCCCAGTCATTCACCTCATTCTTTGTCTTCTATAGTCATTGTTCATACAAAAAATATTTCTTAAGCACCTGCCATGTGTCAGGCACCATTCTAGGCGTTGGGGATATAGCAGTGAACAACACACAGGGCCTCTGGGTACACGTTGGGACAGGTTGTTCCCTCCACAACGGCACTTAGTCAAGGGGCCAATTGGACCAAAATCCAGCAGAAACCTGTTGGCTGTGTCCACCCAGACTCCACCCCACAAGTTCCTACAGGGCAGTCGGCTGCCCTGACAAACAGAGTCCTTGTTCACTTTGCTTTCCGGGAGCAACGAGACAGTGCCTGCCCCTGGCTAACCTGGCTGGGCTCAGTGGCCCGAGGCCACACTGTGAAGCTTGGGTAAGGGAAGCCTGGGGCTTAGAGCAGAGACCCACCCAACAATGAGGACAGACTTCCTGGCTCTGCCTTGATAGTCTGGAACCTGGGTCTCCTGACTCCCAGCCCAGTGCTCCTCCTTTCTGCCTGCCATGAACTGCAGTAGGCCCCAGTGCCCTGCCACAACCACTGGAGAAAGAGGGCACTCTTGGCCTCTCTGTACACACTTCCCCAAAAAGGCCTCTTCTCCCCTAAATACCAGAGGAGGCAGTTCTGCTCAGCTGCCCAGCAGGTATAAAGGTAGGAGACCTGGGTTCATTCTGGTTGTACCACTGCTTGCCTGGTGACCCCTCTGGGCCACCTCCTGTGGTGGGAAGGGCCTGGGCAAGATCCTGCCCCCCAGCAGCCAGCCTGGGGCTCAGGGCTCATTTTTGGCTCTTTGCACGCCCCCGGCGCCCAGTGCGGACCTGCCCCCTGGACGAGTTCCAGTGCAACAACACGCTGTGCAAGCCGCTGGCGTGGAAGTGCGATGGCGAGGACGACTGCGGGGACAATTCAGACGAAAACCCGGAGGAGTGCGGTGAGGCTGGGGGGGCGGGGCCCAGGGCAGGGGGCGGGGCTCTCATGCTCCCCGGGCGCTGCAGGCCCGCCCCCAAGGCTGATTCTGGCTCTGTCCCCTCCCACCCCTGCAGCCAGGTTTGTGTGCCCTCCTAACCGGCCCTTCCGTTGCAAGAACGACCGCGTCTGCCTGTGGATCGGGCGCCAATGCGATGGCACCGACAACTGCGGGGATGGGACTGATGAGGAGGACTGTGGTGAGCAGGGGGCCGGTGGAAGCAGCCTGGTGGGGCGGGGGTGATAGTTTGGGTACTGCACAGTAGGTGGCGGCGGGCCAGGTGGAAACTCGGTGGGGGGGGGGGG